TAGTCTTTTCAATCACTTGCTATGCAACTGAGAGCTGAACAATGACTAAGGATGCCAGAAGAATTGATGCCTTTGAACTGCGATGTTGTAGAAGAGTCCTGAATATCTCATGGACCAAACGAAACAAACAAGAACAAAAAAAAAAAAAAAAAACAAATAAGTCTTGGAGAAGGTGTAGCCAGAGAACTCCTTGGAGGCAAAGATGATAAAGCTTCCTCTTATACACTTCAGGCATGTTGCTAGGAGAGGCTTTTCCTTGGAAAGAGACATCATGACGGGGAAGGTGGAGAGTCAGCTAAAGAGAGGAAGACCCTCAACCAAATGAAATGAGAAAATGATTGCTGCAATGGGGTCTAGTGTATCAGGAAGTGTGAGGATGGCACAGACTGAGAGGTTCAGATCTATTGTTCATGGGGTTATTATAGATTGTACTCAATTAACGTCATATAACAACAACAAATCATCTGTGACTCACCCATGGGGGATGTATTGGGGAGGGGGTAGGTCCTCAGACAAGATAGAATGAACTTCAGATAATTTAGTGCTGTGGGGAAATTCTGATTTGTAAATGATACAGGTGAGAATATTGGGCTTAAATATATTCCAGTGAGCTCATGCCAGTGTTTGGCATGAAGGGAAATAGGCTGGTGAATAATTTCAAATTCCTTCCATTAGCCTTCTGGTTTTCTCCCCTGCATAACTTGTCATGATAAAGTAAGGAAACTGGCTTGAAGTTTATCATTGCTTGCAAGTCAAAAACTTCTAGGATTAAACAACAGTCCCTGATGCTACAGCTGAAAATCCATTGTTTTAAATAAAGATCTGTTTCACTAAAATAGCTGGTTAAAATATTACTATACCTCAACTCCCATTATTCTTCTATGACATCTTGTGGGAAATCACTCTTTTAGGAAAGGACTGATTTTGCCTTGGAAAAACAACAACAACAAATTCACTACGCATTTAGCATCGCAGATATCTCAGATACCTCTTTAAAACTCCCCATCAGAATTCAACCCAGATCTGTTACTTTCTTGACCTCCAGTTTTGCAGTGAAATAGCTTGCCTGGGAGCTCTGGTGGTCTAGTCATGAGGAACTGCATTGTCAACCTGGAGGCACGCGGTTCAAATCTACTAGCTGCTCCATGAGTAAAAGATGGGTAGTCTCCTCCTATGTGATTGACTGCCCTTAAACCCCTCTAGAGGGTCAGCTACGGGTGGTTCCATCCCAACAATACATAACAATCACAATCCTATGAAGGGACCCTCCCTTCCTAAGGACACCAGATATGTCTTGGAGAGGATGCAGTTAGAGTGCTCCTTGGAAGCAAAGATGGTAAAGTTTTGTCTCACAGACTTTGGACATGATGCTAGGAGAGGCTATTCATTGAAGAGTGGCATCCTTCTAGGAAAAGTGGAGGGATAGCAAAAGAAAGGAAGACCCTTAACCAAGTGGATTGACACAGTTACTGCAGCAGTGGGCTCAAGTGTGTCAGAGACTGTGAAGTTGGCACAGGTTAGGACAGGGTCAGATCTGTTGTTCATAGGGTCACTATGAGTCACACCTGTCTGAAGGCACCTAACAAAAAGAAGGACATCTTTGGGAGGTAGCTGTGTAAGAAAGAAATATGTATCCTACATTCCCTTGTGTTTCACTGAAAGAACAGGCCCTAGATGCTCCAGACTACTTCTGAAGGAATCTCTCAGCGTTAAGAGCTCCGCTTTGTAAATTACAGCAGCGTGAGTTTGAACTGAAAGTCTGACCTCTTTGAACTGCACGAAGGGGCCCCTGGTTTCGTCTCAGAAATTATGATCTGCCGCCACCTGGTGGTCGCTTTACCTTACTGTTTGAAATAGCAAGAATGGGGCACCTTAACATTTGCACAAGATTTGTCCAAATACAAATCACTCTGTCCTCTTTGATTAATGTCTTTAATATTATAATATTGTCATCTTCTGAGCATCAAAGGGCGCGGACCAATATAACAGTTCTCCAAGAAATCTATCTTCTTTAGAGGAAATGGTGATGATTTCCGGAGCCCTGTCTTCTTGCCCTGCCTCCCCTGTCACTCCTTTAACCCCTTCCTGTGTCCCTGTGATTTGCTGGGCTGAAGATGCTGGGTTAGCTACGGTCCCCAAAGAAAGTAAAAAATTATTTTGAGGGCAAGTTTAAGGCGCGCAAACAAATCGAATGAATGTTAGCTCTCCCCAACAACCTTCGTCTTGGGAGAAGACTGTCACTTCTTTCTTTCTTTCAAGGCATACATTAGAAACTTAAAATAGACCGTAAAGAATCAGCTAGAATGAACCAACCTTGTATCTCTAAAGTGCCTTTCTTAGTGGCTAAAATGGTAAGTGCGGGGGAGGGGAGGACAAACAAAAACCTCCCATAATAATAACTGACGTTTCTTATCTACTCACCCTGACGTGGACAATATTTAATGCATAAACACCACCCCCGCAGTCCATCTGAGGGGCCCCTTCCATGCCTACGCTCCTCCCATTCCCATTTTTCCTTTGCAGGAAAGATGCAGTCGCAAATCCAGCTGGCAAATCTTTAAGCCTACTGGGGAAAGGTCATTGTAGGCAAAAGATGCTGTTCCCTGACCGAAGAAAAGACAGAAAGGGGCGTTCAGAACTGGGGTTCTCAAATCCCCAACGCCAAGCCCAGGCCGAGAGGTTGAACAACGCCCCCCTTTCTGGCACCTCGCGCACAGCGCTCCTATTTCTTCAAAGCGTTAAACCTTTGATCAAATGCAAACGAAACAGCTGGGCGGACATCACTGCTTTTCCGCCCACCCTTCACCTCCGGTTCGAGTCCCAAAAGAGGATTACTTTTTCCACTCTTATTAACCAAAACATCCTCCTGTTTCCCCTGAGAGAAAAAGAAGAGATAAAAAGAAGAATGAAAAACACAAAAAGATCTCTCTGTTCTGAAGGGCCAACACATAGCCACGGCCACACTCATCCCCAAATCTTTACCAAGGAGCAGAGGGAACAAAACAGCCTCCAAGCTAGCAAAACAAACAGCCTTTTTTTTTTGGAGAGGGAGTTGCAGCCAGAGTTGACAAAGAACTAGCCAAGGAAGTGGGCCCGAGGGCTGCTAGGGGAACCCACACGGTGGGCGCTGTCCGTGGTGCTGAATGAGCTGGGCCCAGTCTCAGTACTCGAAAATACTGGAACTGGATGGGAATCCTTTGCCATGCTCACAAAAGTCTGTGTCTAAAGGGCAGACAATGGAAAATGAAATCAAAGATATAGGTGTCAAGTCTGCCACTGTCTTGCTTAACTGGAAACTCTACTCCATGAGTCCAGAGAGCACCATGAAAACAGTTTTTGACATACCATAAGCAATTAATAAACCACCGTTTAGATAACTGCTAAAAATTAAATACGATGGAAAAAAGCCTTCATGTCTCTCTTCTCAAAATAAAGAAGAAGAACTGAGTTTTAAGTTGTGATACCAAATCTTGTAGAAGATTCTCCCAACTCCCCTCACCATAATGAGATTCTTTTCCTGGCTAGAACGTTAGAAGTGAGCGTTTGGGACGCGAGGGTCAGAAAATGAAACTCTGGGAAAATGTCTCAATGTGGTGCCACAGGTGATGTAAACGAATCTTCCTTTCCTACAATGTCAGGGCTCGAGACAAGGCGTGGAGGAAAGGGGTCAGCGGGCGCAGAAGGGAGACAGAGAGACAGCTTCCTTCTGCCAGGGTCCTTGCCCCTCGCATCTGGCATGATTTAGACTCTCGGATTGGTTCTGGCTCCTTCGCTTTGGTTTTGCGGTGGAGAAGCTGCCCAAAGCGGACACGCCCATCCTTTCCAACCCCCAGCGGAGCTCTGGAGCCCGGGGGTCATTAAAAGGTCTTTTAAAAGTGCCAGGAGTTTCTTGTGAGTTGAACTTTCCTTTAAAACATCACCGTGAGCCCCTCTTGCAGATGTGACCAAATCTCCTAAGAGCGGCATCTTCTGGCTCCCTTATGGGATCTTCGGTGATCTGTCAGATTTTTGGCTTTCCATTGTCGTGGTGAAAGGTGATAAGGGACAAACTGATAAGCCAGGCCCCAGAAGTAACACAAATAACCAGCAGCCTGCTCTGCGGGAAGTGGGAAGATCCACACAAATACCCACTTTGTTGTGATCTAAGGAGAGGGAGCACGGACTCCGAAGACAGGGGTGGCCGAGGTCTGGCAGGGGGTGCGGCGCACAGCCCATCTCTCTAGATGTTGGCCCGGGTACCCCGGGCGAGCGCAGGGCCTCGCCGTCTCCGCGCGCCAGGCGCCCTCTGGTGGGACATTTCCCGGTGAATTCCTTTTTTGTGATGAAGAGGGCATCTCGGAACGCAGCAGTTCATTAAATGTGCTTAAATATAGCAAGGAGAGAATCCTAAAAGGGTGTGAAATCGAAAGGGGAGTGGGTCGAGTCGGGGAGGGTCAGTCCGCCCTCAGGCAAGTCCCCGGGGCGTCACCTCTGCGAGTGTCAGGAGCGGCGCTCGTGCGTGTTATTAACCTTCAGACGTGATCAATCAGTAAGGCTTTTTCCTACCACCAAAGGGCCAGCGCATGATGAAGGGAAAACAGGGCCCTTTGCTCTCTGCCTGTGGCACCAGGTGGCTGCCTTGCTGGATGAGGGAAGAAATGGACTTTCCTCCATGGCCTGAGTACCTCTACAAGCTCTGTCCTTCGCCTCGACAACAATTCTGGCTTTGTAGCGAACCAGCGAACCAGCGAGTGCGCGTGGTGTGGCTCCTGAAAGCATATGGGGGTCGCAGACCTGGGGGAATGGAATCCTGTCAAAGCTACTGATCTGGACTTCTCGGAGTTATGGGAGGAGGGGAGAACGGGGTGGGAGGAGGAAGCTCTCAGCGTGACAGGATCCATAGGAATTCTCTTTTCTCTCCTCTCACCGCACACCCTGCCTATTTAAAAAATTAGAGCGTGTTGAGTACGTACTGGATTACTCATAGGGTCTCCCCCCCACACACACACTACTTTCCGGACGCAAAACCGTGATTTGGATTTCTAATCGCCCTATAAAGCTCCAGAGGCGGCCAGGCACCTGCAAAGAGCCTCGCCGCCTCCCAGACGCGCGGCCCCCGCGAACAGCCGCCTCGTGATTTCCCCGCGGAGCCGGTCCCCGCCTCCCCACTCCACCCCCGCCTCCCCCGAGCCCAACTCCCTCCTCTCTCGGTCTCTCTCCTCTCCTCCTGACGCTCGTGTGCGGGACAGAGTCAGCAAGAGTGAAGACGACTGGAGGTGACGCCGGACACATTGCGCTTGGGGCCGTATCGGCCGAACGTGTGCTGTGTGCGCTGCGCGGAGGAGCGGCGGGAGCGCCGGATCGTGGCGCCCGAGTCTAGGCTAGTAAGTGCCTCGCCGCCCGCACTTCCCCAGCGTTCCCCCTCTGCCTTTCTGCTGGGACCTCTTCTGTAGAGTCTCGGCCACTTATCCCTATCTCCTAGCCAGAGGAGTGTGTCTCACCTGCCCTAGAGCAAGCTGTTTGTGGGTGCGCGGTGCTGTGTCCTCCTCTCTTCCTTTCCCCTCCCTCGGGGTTCCTGCCTTACGCGGAAGTGTGGCCCCTGGTCTTCCCAGGGAAGGGTTAGCGGCAGACGCGTCTCCGGAGTGGTAACCTGTTACTTCCCCAGCAGCGGCGAACCGCTGGAAGATCTCCTTACCGTGCTGCGTGCCGGGGTGCACGCGGGGCTGAGTGAGGGGCGCGAGGCTGGTGGAGGCGGCGGCCAGCCCACACTTCCTCTTCGGGGTCTTAGGTCCACCCAGATTCGCCCGCCTTCTCTCTGTTCTGGGATTTTAAACCGTCTGGTGCCGGCGCCACTGCCGCCGCGCCCAAGTGGGGCGCTGCGCTGCGTTCGCTCCTTGTCCGCTACCTCTTGCGCTCTGGGCGCAAGTTCGTTTCCCTGGTGATTCTCCCCTTCCCCTCCTCCTTTTTTTCTCTCCTCCACTAGGTTGGGGTCTGTACGGAGAAAATTCTGAGGTTCTCGGGGCCGGGAGGGGGTCAAGGTGAAGCAAAAAACCCCATCGAAACCTGAACCGTACCTCACCCAGGCTTTATGGCGACTCAGAGACGGGTGAGACGAGATGAGCGAGGTTCTAACTTGCTGTTTTCAGGTTGTCCGAAGTGCAGGGTGACCGACCACGACAATTCCCCCCTCCCCTTGCCAAAGTCATAGAGAGAACATATAGGAGTCGGCCTTTCCCCCTCTCTCACCTTGTCCCCGGGCCCTGGAGTAGATAGAGTCCTTCTTTCCAGGGAATTAGCCAGACACAACAACGCGATCCAGACACCGAACCAGACGTGCCCGCCCCGTGCGCCGTCCCCCCGCCCGCCTGCTGCTGAGAGCCCAATGGGGCTTGTCGCCCGCTCGGCTCCAGTGTCGCGCACTGAGCCTGCCTTGTCCTCCTAGCCGGGTCCTCCGCGCTCTCGCGACCCTCCCTGGCCTTCGTGCCCCCTGGTCTCCGCGCTGCGCTCCAGGTCACCCTGCTGCGCGAGTGGACTGGAGAGCCGCCCCGGCTACGTTGCCGCCCGCCCGCGAGCTCGCGCACACGCCTTCCCCTCCCCGCGGCGCACCCCAGCCCCGCTCACTAGCTGCCCTTCCTCCCTCATCTGTCTTTCGCGCCCCTGGCAGCTCAGCGGTCGCGGGAGCGGCGGTCCCGCAAGCCTTCCACGAACAGCTCTCGCTTCTCCTTGCAGCCCATTTCTGAGCCTGACCCACCGAAGACTCTGGACAGCAGAGGCCCCGGCACCAACAAGCTGATGGCGTCGTCCACCCCGTCCTCATCCGCCGCCGCCCCCAACGCGGGAGCGGACCCCAATACCAGCAACCTGCGCCCTACAAGTAGGTCTTGCCCCAGTTTCACGTTCACATCTCTGGGAATGTGAGGGCACTGGAGGCTTGGGGTGGGTGCGCTGGCGAGAAATAGGGGAGAGCGCAAAGGTGGAGAAGGGAGACACGGGATGTAGGGCCCTGACCCAGAGCCTGGCCAGAGGTCACTCCGCTGTCCTAGATGCTGGCGGCTCCAGGGGCGCCCGAGAGAGCTGTAGCCACGCAGACTGGCCGCAGCCATGGTGGGGGGCTCCAGGGCGAGGGAGGGACCCGAGGCATTGAGCGTGGTGTGGTGTGATGTGGTGTGGTGTGGTTTCTTTGCGCGGCGGGACAACGAGCATCAGGGCAAGGGGAGGTGTGAGGCGCTGGGCGCTCCGGCGGGAACACAGGATTGTGTATATTCGCCTTTCGTTGGACGGAGCTCAGTCCCCCTCCTCGCCTCCTTCTGCTCCTGTTCGGTATTCCAAGTCTATAATCAGCGGAAATTTCGATGTTAATTGCAGCTTTTAGAATACTCAGGGCCCCTAATTGCCCCAAATTTGCGTCGAGCTGTTGACGAGTGAGGGAGAAATCAGGGGCGGGAAAGGTGCATAAAATGGCTCGGCTCGAGGCTGAACGTTTCAGACAATTACATCTCTGAAACGAGAAAGAAAAACGACAAGTGGGCAGCACACAGAGTGGTGAGGAATGAGGAGAGGGCGCCCCTTTCCCTTCTCAGGTTTAGGAGACCTGGCAGCAGGTGACACGTCCAGAAGAGGGGGCCGATAAAAGAGGAAGCGGGTACGATTGTCCTTCAGCCCATTTCCAGAGGCTGGAAATGAAAGATTTCTTTTTCTATGTTAGACTGAAATGTTCTTACTGTCGTCCCCCCACCCCACCCCCCAGTCTCTTCAGTTCTAGGCAGTAATGGCCCCAGAATTTATATAGCGAAAAGGTGTAGGGAAGAGTGTGTGATTAAAAGGAGGGCTTCCTGCTTTCACGGTGTTTCCTATAACCGTGAGAGATGGTCCTTTTTCATTGTCGACAAAGAGAGAAGCTGCTCCCCTCTAAGCCCCCTTTCCAGACCATTGATGCAGCCACTGGCTTCCAGGAAAGACGCTTTCTTTAAATCCTCAGGCTACGTTCCAGTTTCCCCACAAATAATGACCCTCCATCCCAGGCTACAATTACCCACATAACAAAGAGGGGCCCGGATGGCCGCCAGGCTTGGTGGCACCGGAGCTGGGCACGGGCGGAGCCGGACAGAACAGGCCCAGCGGAGCGCGAGGCCTGCGCGCCTTTTGTCTGTCTGCTCTAGTCTGAATGGATTTCTTTCCCCGTCCTCCCTACATTTCCCGCCCCCCCCTTGTTTTTTATTTCTTTTTCCCCCCTTTTCTTCCGGACGAGCTTTGGCTGTCGTTGCGTTCCCCGAATCTGGTGCTACCACTGCCTGGCACCCTCCTGCCGCAGGGTTTCTGTGCCCAGCCTCGGGTCAAAGACTCAGCAGACGCACTGACCCGAGTCCGCACGTGGCCAGGCGCTCCTTGGAACCGCCGCTGCGGAGAGAGGAAAGCCGAGTGCCAGGCAGAGAAGAAGCAGTGGGTCGCTGTCCCAGGGAACACCCCCTCAGGGCCCCTAATAGCCCAGCCTAGGTTGGCGGTGAGCGCGCGCTGCTCCTCACTGGCCTGCAGACACACCTCCTCCCTCCCAGCCCGCTGGCTTCTCTGCCCCGCCAAGACCAGCAGCTTCGGCTACCTTGCTTAGCCTGTATCTCCAGCCACCCCCTAATTCCGGGGTGGCTCCTTGACTCTACATCAAAAGCTACAAGTTCCTTCTCTCCAAGTCCCTTTGCTGTAGCTCCTAGTTCTCAAAAGCATTGCCAAACCTCTCAATTCCAGTCTCGCAGCTGAGTGACCTTGGAAAACTTTCTTACCCTCTCGGAGCCACAATGTTGTTATTTGTTTAAAAAAAAAAAAAAAAACACTTAAATCTACACTCCTCGACCGATTTCACAGGGTCAACGTGAACATTAGATGAGGTCGTGTTTATCTTTACCGGCTGGGAATTATTATTAGGGTTTTGCTTTGGGACCGATTTCCTGCCTGTCGTGGGGACCCATCAGCGACACCCTGTCTTTCAGACGTCAGCCTGAGTCCTTGGCTCTGTGGTGTCAGGAATTGAATGGATGTCACTCTCCTTATCGCAGCTAGCACCCGTGCGAGGTTACAGACCCACAGACCCGGGGCGGGTGGGGGAGGGGAGCGAGGGGGGCGTTGTGTTGGGGGCTGGGGCTTTGCTCAGGGCCCACTCTCACCCCCACCTCCACCCCGGGGCGCGCCCTCCGGGCTTGGGGCTGCTATTCTTGCTCTTTGTTAGAGGTTGAACCTGGAAGGAAGGTACTCAAAACAGTTGCCAAAAAGAAAATCCCGCGGCTCCTGGGTCGAGCTCGGCTGTAGAGGAATGATTCCTGATTTCCTCTGCTGTTGCCGCGCCCCCTCCGACACGCCCGACCTCGGGCTGGGGCCCAGGCGCGGGAAGGGTTAATGGGGGCCAGACTGGGAAGGGTGGGCAGAGGTGAGGACTGGAGGGGCACCATTGTCTCCCGAGTCCGGCTCTGACTGAGAGGCAGCCATGCGAGCCCGATCATCTAGTCAAATACTATTTTTCACCCAATTAATTCTTGAACTCTGCCGCGACCCCATTTCATGCCAGTTTATTTTAAGCTGCCAGTCGACTGGAGACCCGCCAAGAAATTATGAGACGTTTCGGTCCCAGATGCCTCCGTGTTCCCTTTCTGGGCGGTTGTTGTCCGCCTTGGAGCCTGAGGGGCCGAGGCCGGGCCTGGCCAGTGGGCGCTGCAGGAGGCCCAGCGGGGCCCTTTGCGCGCGGAGGCAGCCGGCTCCCCATCCCCCGCGGGGTCGCCTGGGGGCCCACAGGGGCGTCCGTGACTGAAAGCGAGAGAAGCGAGTGATGGGAGTTCAGAGAGCACGTGTGTGCTTGTCTGCCCCAAATGGGGAGGGGGGGGGCTTTGAGTGAGGAGCTCCCGCCCCGCGAGAAAGCCCTTGTCCCCCACTAACCGCGCTTCTCTCACTCTTTCTTCCCAGCGTACGACACCTGGTGCGGGGTGGCCCACGGATGCACCAGAAAACTGGGGCTCAAGATCTGCGGTAAGTGACGAGGTGGCGGGGTGCGCGGCCCTTGGCTGTGAAGACTGTGAGGTGCGCGCTGAGGCTGAGAGGACCCTGGTTTTCTAGTGTAGCCGCAGACCCCTTGAGCTCCATCCAGGCTTCGGGCTGCCTTCGACCGTCCTCGCCTCCCTAAGCCCTAGTCAAGGGAGCTTGGCACCCAGTGGAGGGACCACTGCGCACCAGGAGCGGGCGCGAGCGCCCCCGCGAGGCAGCCCCGCTCTCCGCCCTTTGCCCTTGTCATCCTGCCGGGGGCCACGTCTCCTAGGCTGAGAAGACTTAAACTGATCAGGTTTCCCTAGAAATCAGACCAGAGGTACAGGATCTGCCTAAACCGGTGACCTACTCCTCTCCCCATTCTCCTCTCCACTGAGTCCACCTCCCCCGAAGCGCGCTGAAAGTGACCTTTTAGACGCTAGGCTTTTGCCCGAGAAATCGTAACTGACTCAGATTTCTCGTTTTGGGGGCCCTCAGAGGGGAAGGGGGAAAATTGCCTGCAGCCCTTGTTGGCCTTCCAGGAGGAGGTGTCAGAGGTGAAAGCCTAAGGGCGCCCTTTTCAGCACAGAGGGGAGGCGTGAGGCTGTGAGTCCTACACGGTTTACCCAGGAGGAAAGAAAATAAATCTGGAGAGCCAGAGAGGAAAAGACATTGCTCTCCGGAGATGTGAGGGTCTGGAAAGAAAATGCCCGTAGTCTTTTTTTTTTTTTTAAGGGAATAAGGAGATTTGTTCGAAGGGACACAGCTGAGTGCCTCCAAGTGAACAATGAGGACTTGCTTCCTCTGTTACATTTCATCGTCTAAAATTCTCTGGCCTTATCGGGCCAGAAAATACGGATGGCCCCGGGCAGGGGGTGGCGAGGCGGGGGAAGATTAACGAGGGGCTTATTAAGAAGCCATCCGTCAGCGGCTGCGCGCGGGAGATAGCGGTGGAGCTTGCGCGGGCGCGCACCAGGGCCTCCTCGGTCCCGGTGTCCGCTGCAGCCCGGGGCGCGTCTGCTCGAGACCCGAGCTTCTCAGCTTCCTAAGATCAGGAGGGTCTCGCAGGGCTTGAGGATGGCAGCAGAATGAGCTCTGAACAGAGGACTTAGTCGCAGCCCCTTGAAATCATCCCTCCATGAAATCATCAGCCAGCTAGAATTTACATTTAAGCAGGGGAGACTAACTTACACTCTGCGCTAAACAGGTCTCCCAGGATTTTTTTGGAAAGCCCAGCCTCCCGGCGAGGTGGCCATAGGGTTCCACCCAAGTCTCCAGGACTTGGGAGGCCCTCATGACGAGGCTGGGCAGCCGCTTGGGCAGACCTTTGTTCTATAAATATCCCACTCCCCCCTGCAGTTAATGGCCTGTTTCGCGCCAGGTCCCTTTGGCGCTACGCTCCTGCAGCCGTCATTGTCATGCAGCTGGGCAAGCAAAACTGAGCCCTGGGCGCCCACCAGGACGGGATGGTGAAGGGGGCGGGTGTGAGGGAGACGCTGTGAATGGAGGCAGCCGTCCCTGCTGCTGCAGGAATTGTGAGAGGTGTGACTCCCATTGCCTCGAGGGGGCGGCCCTTGTCCGTCTCTGCCTCAGGCCAGGGCAGAGGCAGACCTCTTGCAGCCAGGGCTACAGTTCCTCTGGGTCTGCGGAAAGAAAAGACTTTAAGGACCCTTTTGAGGACACATCTGACATTCAAAAAGAAAAGAGCTTCACTGGGTCCAGAAATACAAGCTTCCGGGAAATTAGGTTTTCTTTACCCTCCCTCTCTCCTAGTGTCACGAGGGAGAATTCTTGGGCTCTTGAGAATTTCTATTCTCAGAGACAAGGGAGCTCGGGTAGTCTAGTGACAAGAAGCTGCATGAGCGGCCATCCCAAAGGCATGTGGTTCGAGGGCACCAGCTGTACCACAGAAGGATAGGCAATCTCCTCCCATGCAGTTTACTGCCTCTGAAAACCCGCTGGGGTGTCAGCTGTGGGTTCTTTCCGACTCTACAGTACACAGCACCATTCTGAGAGATGGATAGACACAGTGACTGCAGCAATGGGCTCAAGTGTGTCTGAGATGGTGAGGATAGGATAGATAGAACCAGATTCCTGTCTGTTGTTCATATGGCCACTAGGAGTCACACTGGACTGGACAGCATCTAACAACAACATTCTCAGAGTTGTTTCTCTGTTCCTTTCCCCCACCCCTTAGAACACTGTCATTTCAGAAACATTTGCAACCCATGAGATAGGAGCTGAGGGCCTAGGTGACTGTGGAGGAAATTGCCCCCAGCTAAATAAAGTTTGGGCCACAGATTAGTTTTCATATCTCAAAAAACAAAAGACCAAGAAGATTTAGGATGTGTACATTAAGTCAACTCGGATAATACTTTTTAATCTAGCAGATTTAACCCTGGATACACACACACATACACACACGCACGCACGCACACACACACACCTCCTAGACCTATGGGCTAGGAGGATGCTCTCTTGACACACCCACAGGGGCTGGTTTGATCTAGTACTTTAGGAGAGAGACTAATGGCCCTCCTTTTACCACCACACCCATTGTCATGGGTAACCAACCTCCATAAGTGTCTTCTGTGCCCTTCCAAGGTCCAGTCCTCTATCTCCCACCCATCTTGAAAACCTAAGGAGTAAGACAGCTAGAAATTCCCTTAGTTGCAGTACTGGTACCCCTAGCTCTGGAGGCACACTACCCCCAGAAGAATAATCAGATAGAATAAACTGAGGGGCTTGCCAGAAGCTGGAGAATGTCTTTTGGCCAAGACATGACCTAGAGAGAATGAGACACGGGGAGCTCCAGCTTCTGCCCAGGGCTCTGCTAACTTATCACTGTGTCCTTGAACCTCCATCACCTGTCTATGTAAAGATCTCCAATTGGCTGCCAATCACAGCTGCCAGGCTCTTTAGCTGGCACTGTGTGTGTGGTGGAGTGTGTATGTGTTTACATTTTTTATTCGTTTCCAACTTATAAAAATAGAGACACTTCAAATATTCTGGTTCTTCTTGGGGGTGAAAAAGAGGGAGTATGACCTGGCAGAGTGCTCTTAGCTCAGAAAAATAAGAAAAAGAGCCCTTCCTCCAAGCAGATGCAGCTTCATGCCAGGGCACACCACCCCCTTGGCTGTCCGCCCTTTATGTGATGCACAATTGACAGCCCCATAGGAAAGAGCTGGCTGCTTCCTTTAAGTGGCTATGTGCTCACTCCAGAGAGCTCTGGTGGACTAGTCTGTAGGGATTGCACTGCTAACCCAAAGGCTATACGTCTCTGGTAGTTCAAATCCAGCAATTCTGAGGAAGAAAGATGAGCAGTCTCCTCCTATGTCCTTTCCAGCCTCCTGAAACTCAATAGAGGGTCAGCTATGAGTCAATTCCAGGAATGGGTTGGTTCCAACTCAGCAGCAATGAGATTTTGAGTTGAGATGTCCCCTCCACTAATCTCTGGGTTCTTTAGGCCTTTGCTTTTGGAGGGAGGGGTAAGAAACCCACAGTAGGTGCTCCCCTTGACTTAGAGGTGAGTGGGATCAAGAGAGGGTTTGCCTCTTTTTGTCTCTTCAGCTATAAACTGACAAATGCAACTGCACTCTGGCTTCCCCCTAGCTCCCTCTTGACCTTTAAGAATAGCAAATGCCTCAGTTGGAGATTACCAGTCACCCACAGTCTGGCTGTGGAGCCAGAGAGCACAGTCCACTTCCATCTTTGTGGCCCTGCTTGGAGCTTTTTTCAGTTAGCAATGTTGTCAAAACACTGACACCCAAGGTCACCCACCACCTTTCTGTCCTTGGAGAAGAATCTGGTTCCTTCTAGGCCTCGCAGAGTTCTTCTGGTCCCTGGTAGCTGAAAAGAAATCTTTTCCAAAGCAGGATAAAAGAAATCTAGAAAAGGAATGACAATATACACGTGAACTGTTTACATAAGCAAATGAATACGTTTCTTCCTTGGATTGTAATCAAAGTAATAATGCTATTTGTAATATAATTACAGATGTTTATAGGCAATATTCTGTTCCTAGCACAGTGAAGGAAATGTGGTCCCAGAATGAGATACAAATGTAAAGTTATGTGACAGCTATAATCTCCTAACCCTATCAGGACATCTTTGGGAGGCTGTGTCAATATTTCCTTTGGGGATAATAGCCAAAGCCTAAATCAAGGTCCTGGCCCTGCAGCTGCCCATAAGAAAGGAGTTTCTAAAGCTCAAGGAAGAATTAAAATTTTTCTGAGAGTGACTCAGAAGCTCATCTAGAGGACAGAGACTAGAGAGTGGGCTTCAGATAGGCAGTTTTTTGCCTCCACTGTGCCACTTGGGTTTGGTCTTTCCTGTCTAGCAAATTCCACAGTGTACTGCTCTAGAACCAGAGACCAGTCTGAGAATGCAGGATGTTCCTGCATCCTCCAGGTGTCACTTCATTCCCGGGCAAATGAGTGTTGCTTCCTAGTTCTGGACTTTGGGCATTTGGGGGAAGAAAGTAGGAGAAGTGAGGGAAAGGATGTGACCTCCTTCTTTATAGCTAAGTGTGTGGTCGACTGATTTATTTTCCCCCTTTTGATGTCCTTTGGGGCTTTGGTGATAAGTTTAGAAGGTGCTGAGAACAATAAAGAGCCTGCTGCCTCTGCTTCCCAATTACGTCCTCCAAAAATAGACACTGGCTCCTGTGTGTGGGAGGATTCTAATCACCAAAACTTTCCCCTGCATGCTTTCTTCCTCCACCCATCCCCATTGAACTGCTGTCCTGGTGAAGCAAAGCTGAATTCCCCAGACTAACTTGTGCTTCCTGGTACCTCCTGGGACTTTTGTCTAAGCCTGCTTTGTGATGTGTGTGACTCCCCAAGGATCCTGGTATCTACAGAGACAGCTTGAGGGGTCACCAAGAAGCTTAGAACTTGCTTTCTGTTTCAACTGTGTTGCATTTGGGTGAAGATTGGGCAGGACTGAGAAGATGCTGAGGACAGGACCGCATTTGCAGGCCAGGAATCCTGAGGCGATGGGGGGGGAGGGGAACGTGTGCGCCAACTTGGCAGGTTCTCCAGCCCTTTGGCTCAGTTCTGCTTCTCTATTTGCTGAGGGTGTCATTTGTTATGCTCTTCTCAGGTAGGAGAGATTTCTGCTCCCTTTAAGCTGCAGAAAACCCACTTTGGACTTCAGAATTCATATCTCAAATTTTTTTTAAATACTTTGTCTTAATTGCAACCTAGGTTTTCATCAAGGACACATCTATGCCTATCCTGTCTGCTAACCTGTAGGCATTTGGAGCACAGAGTATCTGTGTAATTTGTCTGCCCTCCCCATCCTAAAAGCTTAGTGTCATGTCATTCACATCAGGAGCTGAATAAGCATTTATGGAGTTAAAAGTCACTACATAGATTTTAGAGCATACTTGTCTCTTTTGCCGGGATCTCTGTTCAGGAATACAGGGTAGTTCAGGAAGAAGGCTGTCCCCTATGTTTAGCTCTAAAAATTTCCATTTGTACACAGCCCTGTGAGCATTACCTGCTGCCTGAGTAAAGCACTGTCCCTAATGCCCAGGACTGGTCCTAGCCTCCTCCTCTCTCTGTAGATCCTCTTTCTTTCCACTCCCTGGTTGCATGGCACATAATTCCAGTGCTAGCAGCATTCTTCTCTGATTGCATCCCTTCCTTTGAAACCCCACCCTGGGGCTGGTTACTGGAGTGGAAGTTGTCCAGTTGACATAATTCCAAGTTCACTGTCACATCCTGAGAGCAGAATGGGCTTCACTTACCATTTTTCTCTCTTGCATGACTGGGTCTCTGCCATTGACTATCCCCTCCCCGCCTGAAGGTGAGTAGTGCCAGGGACACTGAATATAAAATGCAGACACTAGACTTCTGGAGAGACACAGAAGTGCAGGAACACCGCTTGGAGAGTCAAATTGGACCCAGAAGCTGATAGGAGGTGGGGTAGCCCAGTGCACTCCCTCTTACACAGCTTCTTGTGTCCTAGGCTTCTTGCAGAGGACCAACAGCCTGGAAGAGAAGAGCCGGCTTGTGAGCGCCTTCAAGGAGAGGCAGTCCTCCAAGAACCTGCTTGAAAACAGTGACCGAGATGCCCGCTTCCGGCGCACTGAGACGGACTTCTCCAACCTGTTTGCTCGAGGTAGTCCTCCCCCCCCCCCCCCCGCCCGCCCCATAGTGCTCTCTATTCCAAACCTTACGTTAGTTTCTGGACTTTTCCCTGAAACTTTACCTTGGGGATGCAGGGGGATAGTCAATACTTCTCTTTGAATCTTCATGGAACTTTTTTCTGGGAATTGGAATAGAATGGGCTCTATTCTTCTCAACTACCCCAGCTGCCCTCATTTTGGAAGTTGAGTGAGGTCAGTCATTAAAATAGTTGACTTATTCAAACAGCCCTTTTATTCAAACAGACATTTGCAGGGACCAGTATGAGTCATAGAATCTCAGAATCTGAACGAATCTGGCACATAAGAAATTCTATGGTTCCCTCAGGGTTGACCAAAAATGAAAAGACTCACCTTTGGTTGAGAAATGTGCGAACAGGCCTTATAGCTAAGGACTATCCTGAAATTAATTTTCTTTTGGGGGATTATTTTTTAACTGGTTACTGTTCCCTTCCAAAAAACACTGATCTCTGGAGTTGTTTTCTCCCTTCCCCTTTCAGTAGTTCAAAGGTAGACCCACCACTCTATAAGACCACAAAAGTAAAACTAGAACATTGGCTAAAATGTATCGTTCAGAGATAACCAGGGGAATAGACACAGAGTACCCTGTGCAGATAGGTGACCTGCTCTTGACCTATGGCTGACCTCTTCAGTCGGAGACATCTACAGTGCCTGCCCCTAATTAGGCACCAGCTTGTAACCCAGCAGAAGTTTATAACCTGTGCTGTGGCAGATGATGCTCAATGAGCTCCGAACATTCCAAAGTTCAGGCTCGAAAAGGTGAGCTCCAGAGAGAGGCAGGAGTCTCCTTCCACACCTTCCCAGGGCTACCTTTTAGTTCCCCTTTCCTGACTTGAAGACATCACAGAGGACCACCTCTTTAGGAGAAACATAAACCCTGCCCACAGGGACCTCATCTTCTGTTATCAGTAGGTCAAGCACATCAGAACAACAAACCAAAAGTCTAAGGTCTGAACCAGAGAAATAGAGACACTCTTTATACCAGGGAACCAAGATTTCTCCAAGCTTGTCAGTGGATAGCTGTAGCAGCAGAAAGCGCAAAACTTCTCAAAGTCTAAAACCGAGAAACTCTAGGAAGTGTATACAAAATGCTTATCTAAGTGCTTATGTTCAGCATCAACAGCAACCCCAGGTTACCTCAGTACACCATATTGACAGTAGAGTGCTGTACCACTTAGAAGAATGTTGTTGTGATGCTTAACCCTTGTGCCATTAGGGTGTCAAATGCCAGAACTGTTACCCATGGTAACAGACAGGTTAGAAGCCAGAGTGGCATCCACTTCCTAAACAACATGCCTCTGGAAACTCTATGAGCTTTGATAAATGACAGTAGTTGTAGAAAGGCTTCAGGCCTTTGGATCATAGGGTAGCTGTAGGTCATGCTCAGCTCTACAGCAGTCACCAACAACAGCAAGTGCATATGTGTTTTTATCTGGGAATATGGACAGGCCATGTTCAAACATGGCTAAGACATGAAGTCAGTCTTCCTCAGATTATCTATGGGTGTGTGTGTATTTGTATATATGCAATGTGTGTGTGTTGGGGGGGGTTCATTGTTATGTGCTGTCAAATGGGAAATGACTCATAGCTGACCCTCCAGCGGGTTTTCAGAAGCATTGGATCCCACAGAGCTTCCTATAGAATGTATATGTATATGTATATGTATATGTATATGTATATGTATATGTATATGTATATGTATAAATTTGGTGCTATGGTCACCTAGAGGGCAAAGGAGTTGCACCGCCAACCCAAAAGCAAGTGGTGTGAATCCACTGACTTCTCCTCAGGAGAAAGATGAGTAGTCTCCTCCCAAGCAATTTACAGTCTCTGAAAACTGGAGGTCAACTGTAAGTCAGTTCTCACTCAGCAGCAATGAGTGTTATATGTATATAGTCACACACACACACATGTTTACATATACATAGATAGAGAGATGATAGAGATAGATATAAGTCTAAAACTCCTGAAATAAAATTTGGCCTGTAAAGATATCTCCATACCTTTTCAATTTATATGCAGAACAGATCATTCTGGAGGCTGGGCTTTATGAGGAGGAATGTGGCATCAGAATTAGAGGAAGACTCATCAACAACCTACATTATACAGATGACACAATCTTGCTTGCTGAAACTGAGGAAAATCTGACACACTTCATGCAAAAGGTCAAGGACTATAGTCTTCAATATGGATTGAAGCTCAACATCAAAAACAGAGATTTTCACCACCGGGTCAATTGGCAGCACCATAATAGATGGAGAAGAGATTAAGGTTGTTAACAATGACAGCTTACTCAGCTCCACAATCGACACTCTTGGTACCAGCAGCCAGGAACTCAAAAGACGAATTGCACTGGGAAAATCTGCGATCAGGGACCTCTCCAGAATACTAAAAAGCAACAGTGTTAGCCTAGGGACTAAGGTGCGCCTGATCCGGGCCATGGTCTTCACAGTTACTTGCTGGACAATTACTTGCATCACGCAGCTGGACAGTGACTAAGGATGACAGAAGAAAAATTGATGCCTTTGAGTTGTGGTGCTGGAGAAGAGTCTTGAACATACCGTGGACTGCCAAGAAAACAAATAGGTCTATTTTGGGGAGTGTGAAACCAAGTTCCTCCTTGGAGGCTAGGCTTTTGAAGCTCCATCTCACTTTGGGCACATGGCCATGAGAGACCAGTCCTTGGAGAAGGATGTCATGCTTGGAATGATGGAGGGATAGTGCAGGAGAGGAAGATCCCAGATGAGATGGAGTGACACAATAACTGTGGCAATGAGGATAGGTGTGTTGGAGTCAGTGAGATTGGCTCAGGACAGGGCAGGCTTCAGAGCTGCTGTACATAGGGTCACTATGTGTAGCTAGCGACTTGATGGCCCATAACAACAGCACAACCACATAAAGATGTTGTTACTGACTAGGGCTTTCTCGGTCAAGGAAATCCAGATAAGTGGATAATAATCACTTTTTGTTTTACGCCCTCAGATCTGCTTCCAGCTAAGAATGGGGAGGAGCAAACTGTGCAGTTCCTACTGGAGGTGGTGGACATACTTCTCAACTATGTTCGTAAGACGTTCGACCGCTCCACCAAGGTGCTGGACTTTCACCACCCACACCAATTGCTGGAAGGCATGGAGGGTTTTAATTTGGAACTCTCTGACCACCCTGAATCCTTGGAGCAGATCCTGGTTGACTGCAGAGACACCCTGAAGTATGGGGTCCGCACAGGTAAGGATGCGAGTCAGGTGGACTTATGTGGTTCCTGTGCCTTCCACCCATCCCTGCAGATTTCCAGGGAGGAGCAGGAATCTCCTCTCTCGCTGAGTGCTCCGTGACCACAAGAATGACCAAGGACAGTGGCCGTCGGGCAAAGACTCTGGCAAGAATTTATCGTATCATTTATCATTGTAGAGTTTGATTGAAAATAGATCAATACATGTCAAAGCCTGTATAAAGACATGTTCATTCTTGGTTTTAGACTATTCACAACCTGAAGAGAGCAGATCAACTGATCCCTTACTATTATTAACCATACCCTCTTCATTTACATGCCTGTTTTAGTCTAATAAATCCTACTCGTGCCTATTCCTGACACAAATTGGGCTCATTTCCTTCCACTTCCACTGGCTAGGACATTAAATCAACCCTCCTCCTCTGTATTCTGTTTTAACCTCTGGAGTTTATTCACTCTTAATCACTCTGGAATATCTTATTTTCCACTTCTCTGTTTCCTTCCTCATTTTATAGAAACTCATTCTAATCAGTGCTTCTGGCCCAAGGGTTACTGTCCAGCAGCCTTAAGTCCAAGCACTTTGTAGATTTCTCTCTAGGCTGTTTCTAAGCCAAGAAGTGGAGTAATGATTGATCTTCTCTATAACTCTCTCCCCACTCCAGTCTGACATTCTTGCACTCCTGGGCAGAGGATGTATAGGATTTGGCAATCTGTGATGTTGTTCACAACAGGAGCCCCCAATGCCACAGTTAGCTCCTAGTTTATCCCTCTCTTTATCTGTCTTTCTTCCTCTCCTTTGTTTCTTCTTATTCTCTTAGTCATGTGCAGACAGATTTAAAACTAGAACTGGGGAAGATGGTAATAGAGCTGAGTGAGGCTATAGGATGTCAAAGCAGTGTTATAGTGAAATAATGAGGCTGACCACAAAGGCATTTTTAAAGAAGAAACTCATTGCCAGTCAATTTGGAACTGTCTGCTTGCTGACCCTCAAGTGGGTTTTCAGAGGCAGTAAATTATGTGGAAGGAGATTATTCCTCTCCCTTCCCTCCCTTGTCTCCTTACCCCCTACCTCTCGCGCAATTTCTTATAGACTAGGCCAACAGAGCTCCCTCTTTTAAAACGATGTTCTTGTTGTATACCATGGAGTTAGAACCCTGGCTGCCTGTCCAGAAGTTTTCAGAGACAATTAATCACAAGGGAGGAGACTTCCCATCCCTCTCCCACAGAGAAGCTGGTGGATTCGAACTGCATACCTTTAGGTTGGCAGAACTACTCCTTCTACTAAAACACCAGAGCTAGTCCCAAAGAACTTTTCCATTCAAGCAGCATTACTGGGATAAGTATGGCTTTATTACATAATAGTTCAGATGTTATAGAATTCATCTATCTGTGCAAAGTTTGTGTTGTTTGATTTTTAATGAAAAACACTCCCAGTAATGTAATCTTCCATTAACATAATCTCAGCTACATCTAATGGTTTCTTTTTTGACTGAGATCAAATAGTGTTATTTAGCAGAATAAAAGAGAATCCTCTATGCATGTTTTAGCTTGACTTCTTTCGTACAGATTTTTTTTTTTTGGCATATGATTCCACAGCAAGATAGAGACCACACATTTTTTTATCATTAAGGTTCAGAAGGCATTGTCCCTCAAAGAAAAAGATGTGGATTTTTCATAATAGCATCTCATATTGTTTGCACTATTAGAGCCTGTGGGACTGAAAGATTAGAGGTTCAAATCCAACCAGAAATGCCTCCAAAGACAGGCTGGTCCGTCTACTTCTAAAACACCAGTCACTGAGAATCCTATGGAGAACAGCTCTACTCTGGCAAATAGGAGTCGGAATGAATTCAAGAGTGATTGTGTTTTTCATAGTATAGGAAACAGAAGTGTCTCTGGTCAGAGCACTCTTGGAATCCTGTTATTCCAGTATATGATTTATCTATCTTATTTTTCATCCAAAGAATTCATAAATGAAAAATTCCTTAAAAGCAAACAGTATCATTGCTACACTCTAAAAAAATGAAAATTTACATTATCCTGAATTACTAATATGTTGTTGTTGTTGATTGCTGTTGAGTCGAGCACAACTCATAGCGACCCTCTGAACAAAAAGCCTGAAGCCCTCTACAAATATTTATCAAAGTTCATAGAGTCTCCAGAGGCATATTGTTTAGGAAGTATATGCTACTCCTGCTTCCAAAATTAATATAGTATCACTTTTCAAATTTCCAACCATCTCATGATTATGGTAAATTTTTTGGCTCGTTGTAATTTGTTAGAATCTCAGTCCTTCACTTTGTAGTTAGTTGTTATGTCTCCTAGTTAAATAGCTTTTCTCTCTCACATCTTTTTTCTTGCCATTTATTTGTTGAAAAACTTTCTTTTCCTATGAAGTATACCTCCTTTCTCCCCTACCTGACTTTAAGCCATTCCACTGTTCAATAACCTATCATATGTTATTTTCATGAAATATAGAGAACTGAAACTGAAACTAGGTCATTTTATTACTTCATAGAAATTACGATACAAGATTTTGGGGACTTAAGGTTTTGTACATAAACTAAAAGTAATGATTTTGTGGACTTTGTGTCTTTTTTATTTTAGTAGATAAAGAGATGATGGTTTCATTTTGATTCATGGGTGTTTATGTCTCTGTGCAACTTTTGCCTCTGCCATGCTACAAAGTTTAGATACAGTATCACATGTATCACAGTGCTGTCTTAAAAAAATAATTTTATTGAGTTTTCAAATGAGTGTATCCCAAACAAACTTTAATGGATTGCAACAAAATCAGTTATGTTGCAGGAGATCTCAGTGTGTTTTGTTGGAAGCAAAAGGTGGAGTGAAATGGGCTAGTATGACCCATTCATTCCACATGAATGCCTACACTCTGGGCTCATACTAAGTTACCTGTTTATGCTTCCTTTCTAAAAATGAAAATTATTATTCATTTTTGAGAACTCTTGTGATACAGAGATTGGTATATTCTGATATAAGAGTTATAGATGGTCCAGATCTTTTGAATTGCACATCTAGGGAAGCAGAGACTTTTACAGAGAGAGGAGTTAAACCAGGAACATTCAAGTACTAGCTCTCTGACAGTTGTTTCAGATGCAAAGGCAATTTCCACTGAAACAGAGCAGTCAGCATATCTTTCTAACACCCGTTCTCTGTCACACACCCCTAGATAATCTATTGTGTTGACTCCTTTTTGACAGCTGAGCCAAGCCTGCTGATGTGGGGTGAATTTTCTAGTGAATGCCAAGTTGGCCAAAACTTGGCAACAATCCCAAGCTTGCTGAGAATAAAGCCTTTTAAAAGTATTTTCTAGGTTGCAAAAGACTTCAGGGTTTATAGTAATAACAGTTATTTCACTAGCAACTCAATGAGTGAAGACTATGTCGACCTGTGTTTCACATAGATGCCACGTAATCTCAACAATAAATTAACAGTCACCTGACTCTAGATGGACAAAACCTCGCCATGCTCTGTGCCATATTTGACTGGACCAACAAAGAGATCTAAGGAGTGATGCCTTCCCCACAGCCTCAGCCTCAAAGCTGGCAGTGTCCTCAGATTTGGTTTGAGCCATGCCACAACCCCTCTCTAAGGTCCAGAGTCTCTTCTTTCTCAACAAAATCTTGATTCTGGAATTGTCCTTGGGATGTAAAGTTAAGAATTAAAACTGTTGTGGAGAAACACAAGACTCTCTGTAATCACATTCTGACTTGTAATTAAAAGAAAAAAAATGTGTCAGAGGAGTGTATCTGAAAATCACCAAATGAGATATTAGAAAGTGCAGTCAGTTTTATGGTACTGGGTTGTTTTTGTTTTTTCATTTCAATTTAAAATCATGATGCTTCATATGGGCTGTATTAACTTACCTTTACTTCCTAAAGATCCTGGGAACACTTTTTCAGACACAGCATTGAGGTGCCGTGAATATGGCTCCATGGGTCAGGTCTTTTCTTTTGAAAGAAGCATGAAAATCAGATTTGATTTTTTTTTTTTTACTTGTTGCTTACTTTATACTCACCTCTCTAGGTCACCCTCGCTTTTTCAACCAGCTCTCTACGGGATTGGATATCATTGGTTTAGCCGGTGAATGGTTGACATCAACTGCTAATACCAATATGTAAGTTCTAAATAAGCATCCGTGATGTATGGTTATTGCTTGTTGCTTTACAAATCCAGGCCCACACATTTTATTATAATAATAATTTTTAAATGGTGCTGGTCTTTTTCTCTCTCTTAAAATCTTTAAGGCTTGTTATCGTTCTTGTCAAATAGAAAATACTCAGACTGAATAACATAACTTAATAGCATGATCCTAAGAGATGATAATTCTAGCTTTCAAACTTAAGATTAAAAGATTCAAAATTCAGATTAAAAGAGCCCTTGTCTCTAAATGGTGTTAACGTTTTGAGATGTGATCCTGGTTCATTTTCCCATCCAGATACATTGATCTTTGTCACGTAAGTCATGTTTCCTCTTTACCGTAAAGCTGCCAGAAAGCCACAAGCCAGTGTTATCAAATCAATCTATTGTTTAAATAAAAATTCTACAATGAAATGTAGCAGGTATATTATATATTCATTTCAAAATGACTGTTTCTCAGGATTTGAGCTTTTTCTCCATATTGGTTTATATAGGCAGAATGGTTTTTTCAAAGTTTTTGTCAATTTTTTTGATGGTAACCCTAAAGGGATGGAACATGATCAGGGTTTTAGTAGCCACTATGGAGAAAGCAATGGGTGGTACAGTAGTAAAATTCTTACTTTTCATCTAAAAGACCAAAGTTCAGTTCCCAGCCAAGGCACTTCTTGTACAGCCACTCATCTGTCAGTGGTGCCTCGTGTGTTGCTCTGAGGCTGAGCGTGTTCAGCAGAGCTTCTAGACGAAGCTGGACAAGGAGGAAAGGCCTGGTGATCAACTTCTGAAAACCAGCCCATGAAAACACCATGGGGTCACAATGTCTTGATCCTTTTTGTGGAGTCTTCACGAGTCAGAAGCAGACTCCATGGCTAATAGTGTTACTCGTTATAGAAATATTTTTTAAAAAATGACCACTTGATTTTAAAGTTTATGATATCCCAGATTCCAAGACTTCCATTCTTGAGCCTGTGTGTAAGTTGAATTTGTGCCTAACTTGAAAGAGTTCTCAAACTCACTCATTGCCACCAAGTCTGGACCAACTCATAGCTGACCTTCCATTGGTTTCCTCGCATATTTTGGGCATGTTGCATGGAGGGTCTATTCCTTAGAGAAGGGCTTGATGCTTGGAAGGGTGGAGAGTTGGTGAAGGAGAGGAAAACCCTCATCCAGGTGGATTGACCCAGTAACTTCTACGATGGGCTCTTGTATGTCAGGAAGTGTGAAGATGGCACAGGATAGAACAGGGTTCAGATCTTTTGTTCGTGGGGTCGCTATGAGTCAAACTTGACAGCACCTTACAACAACAACAAATCATACTAAAGGAGATTGCCCATCTTTTCCCCTTGAAACCACTGGTGGATTAGAACCACCAGAGAGGAGCCGACTGTGGGTTATCAACACTTATCATAGAAGCAGCAGTCCCAACAGACCATCATATGCCACCAGAGTATCCTAACTTGGAACAATTAGGTATGGTCAGTGTCATTTAGTCAAATAGTATGTAGTGTGACTTTCTATGCATGAAAAACAAGAAATAAACACTTCTGGATACACTGAAACATTGTTAACAGAGTAGTACAGCCTGTCAAAAAGTAGCACCTGTTTGCTATTATGAGCCATTATTTGACTTTTTAATGTTTAATAGGCAACCTGGCAACTACAGATTGTTTGCAAGTCAAAATTCATAATCCAGGGATTATTTCTAATAAGTCAGAAAAGTGAATTTAGCTGAAACATTCTGTTATTTAAAAATGAAAAATTCATTTTAATTTTACTACAAAATGGCACGTTATTAGTGTGTAAGATATCCTGGAACAAATTAATCCCATCCATAAAACCTAAAGGACATTTTAAAATTATGTATTGATTGCATGTGTTCTAAAACGGTTAAGTGCTGCGTCTCTGTTTAGCCTCATTAAGAATAGTTTCTAATAATTAAAATATTTCTGCTTTGCTTGCTAATTTAAAGCAACAGAGGCAAATTTTTAAAAGTGAATGTGACAAACAAAGGCTTTAGTGTTAAAAGGCATAAGAGATTAAACTGATTGAAAATGAAAATGCGTTTTCACGCCTCCCTGCTTTAAGGCATGGTTAACTTCACAGAGCATTCATACTGGATCAGTATGCTTCTGGAAAGCAAAGAGGAAGTGAGGTTGGAGATGCAATTGCTTTTGTGTTTTTCTTGAACAAAAAAGCTCTCCTTTGTGGTCTTTACTGTATTAAGATTTGTGCAATTAAAATGTATAGAAAACACAGACATTGTAATACACTAATTATAACTTGAGAAGAAAAAATCACTAATGCTTAATTATAGCATCTAACACCAAGGAGCAATTTTAATTAGAAAGTACAGTTTTTAAAGACTCAACCATTTGGAAAATGAATGAGAAAAAGCATAAAAAGTATAATATATACATTAAGGCCTCATGTTAACATAGCCCTTGAATTCACCAATTGCTTTTAAATATGTATTGTGGAGGCCTCTTAGCTGCTATTCCTTTATATATATAGCCAATCTCAAATTAAATAAAAGGAACTCACTCCTTTGAACCATTTATAACCCAATACTCTCCTAAAAGACTTTTCTTCAACTAGAAGGATCTCACAAGTTTTCCCTTTTGTATGTGTTTATAAAATCAAAGTCATTTCCTCTTCTCTTGCCTCAGTTGAGCCATGAAGCACTGAAATATGTCCCAGCCATCTGAGGTCAAGGCCAGTTCAGCTAAATGACACATATAATTGCAGCTGAACAGAACAGTGAATGTTTATAAAATATGATCCGATTCCAGCAGATCGATAAAGAAGGTTATTTAAAATAGTGAAATAGTTTCTGTCCATTCTAGCATTGTCTGAAGAAGTAATAAGTATTATCTAGCCAGTTTCTCTGGAAGATCATGAAATGTGGCAGCACTGTCAGGAGCTTATGCAGGAATTTGTTCTCCTGTGACAGTTCCTTCCCCAGCGGGAAACAGTGTTCACAGTAAGTCCAAGAAATAAAATAAGAACAGGATCTTTCGCAGGGAGGATTTAATTGGTGATACAGTCATGTTTTGGGGGTGTGATATCATGATTGAATTTTGATGGCACTGGTAATAGAGAGTAACAACAATAATCCTACTAAAGTCTATTTAAAAAGAACTGTCTAAGATCTGAATTTTACATTTCAAGGGTAAGGTCAGACTGTTAGAATAGCAAGACTATTTATGGTCTTCATTTTATAGCTGCCTATACATACGGATTTGAGGTCTTTGAAGCAAGGGCCTAGCGAAGATCCAAAGAAAATTTCCCAAACGTGTAGTAACCTCTTGAATGTGCAGCAATTACCTTTCAAAACAGGGCTACCAAACACATTTGGGCAGGTTGAGCAGTGCCCAACTGTAAGAGCACCCTGCCCTTCCTGACAATACATACTATTAATGGCAGGATCTGTCACAGCTCTTGTGTTATGAGGTTAGGGTTTTAGTGCTTTATTTTTGAAGAAATTACACAGGAAAAGTTTTCTATGGGGCTTGTCAGTCATATTACACTCTAGGCAGGTTGTTAGAAAAGAACTGGAAGCAAGCAGTTCTCATTTGTCATAGAAAAGTAGCTGTGAAGTGAAAAGCTTGGGAATTCTGATTCTGAAACATATATTGAGATCTTCCATCACTGAATTTCTCTGGACCTCAGATTCCTCATCAGAAAAAATGAGAGATCATCATACTCATGCTCCAGTGTCTGAAGACTCGCTGCAAGTCTTAACTGTCTACCATCTGCAGGTTGCAGCACATACATGCCGGGAGGACAGCTCACTGTCATTGTTCAAAGTCCCTTCCTCTCATCTCTTTTCCTATCACTTATCATCTCTAGACACGAGAAAATGTTCACTAAGTGGTCCATAAATGTGTTATCCTCTAGGGTAAGGATAGACTGCCTGCCATGCTGGTGAAGAAGAAAAGTCAAAAGGAAGTGTCAAGATAGTCTACACAGAAGATTCTTTCTTTCTCTGATTAAAGTATTTCCAGTTTGCCAGTTGCCAAGAATCCAGGTTCCTCCCCTTTCTGATTCCATGTTGTGCTATCTCTTATCCTTAAAGATTCCTATGATCCGATCTGGCTGTGAAAGTTCTAGCCTTCATATATCTATCCCAGAACTCAGGAAGGAGGGAAGGAGGCAAGCAGGAGTGAAACAAGCCCTGAAGGAAGGGCCAGAAGGGAACACACTCCTGCTTCTCAGAAATCCTTCAGTTTCCCATAGTATCTCTTTAGCCACAGTTAGTACCATGGCTGAATAGGAAAGCTGGGAAAATATAGTCTTTGATTCAGATAAATTGGAGCCTTAAATAAAATTTGGGTCTGCTATTAAAGAAGGAAGGGGAAACTGATACTGGGTAGCAACCAGCAACTGTGCTCCAAGAGCACTGCAGCTTCCTGACAATCAATTTGTCTTTGTTCTGAGTGAACACCACTGGGAAGGTGAGTTGGACAACTGAAAAGGGCTGACTCACTGCCCTACTCAGAATATCAAAGGACTCAGAACTCTCCTTTTTTTCCTCCATGAATGCCACCATCCTACTGTTCCAAAACCTTACTTCCAATCCCATATTCTCATGCGTCAACCTAGGTCTTTTTGTAGGTTAAGTTTATGGTTCTGCAATTCCAAAATATAATCTTGTCCTCTGACTTTGGCACGTAACCAGCCCCTTAGGAATCCATATTTGACCTCTGATCTTTTGCGTTCCTCTGTTTTCATCTGCCATTTAAGGAAGGGGTTCGCAACTTGTGGTCTAGATTGCAAGAGGACAACCTCCTATAATTGTATGCAAAATGATGTACCTATTCTCAGTTGCTTCTTGGAGAAGAAAGCTATGTGCTGATAGCTTTCCGCAAATTCCAAAAGGGGTATATAAGCCTAGAAAAGTTAAAAACTGAGTCTCTGGGTAATCTTTAGACCTTTGATTAGGCAGTGGTGTAGACGACTCCCTGATGGTAAACATAGCCCACCATAGCAAGAAGGGTTCAAAGAAGTTTCAAGAACATCTCATTTGTCATGCTTGGCTTAGAATCAACAGCCATGGACAATTTGCCAGCTTCCAGGACTAAGATCATAACCAAGGATCAGCCAGTGTTAGCTGTTGGATACCTAACTCTTCAATTGTAGGCATAGACAGCCTAACAGCATCCATCCAGTTAAGACCAAGAAGATTCCTCCTCAAGGTTGTAACTGGTGTCTTAAATATCTCCACCTGGCATAAAATGGCAATTCAATAAGTATTTGTTGAACAAAACTCAAAGGAAAGTTTCAGAATTGGGTATCTAGCATAGATAAAGAACTAGAACTAGAAGAGATAAGTGTGATCTAAACTCTTTAAACTCTTCCTCCTAATTTGAAGGGTCATGACCATGCTCATAATCTTTAGGAAGGAAGATGAACTCATGCCAACCTGGGGCCTGAAATTCAAATCATGAAGCACAGGGCTGGATTAATCACTTGATTTCAGTCCCATCCTTTATTCTTTTCCAAATGGTCCCTGTCTGGCCATCTAACACCAGCTTGACTTTCAGCTCAATATTCATTCAATCGTTGAGAAAGTTCTGGTATTAAAATGCCTTCTTACCTTGTGATAGCCCCAGAGAACCTTCTTATTTGGTATTGTGAAATTCTAGCACATGCATTGCCATCAGGACCTCATCACCATGTCAAACTTTTGTGGGTTGTCCCCCCCCCCGGCAATTATAACATGTTTTCAAAAAATCAAGTGGAGCCATTGGTAATACATTTGTTCGGGTATGGATAGAAGCACATCATAAGCTTGCCTCTTGATACACTCAGCAGCACAGGCTAAACCAGGAATCCTTCTCTTCTTCTTCCTTTGTCAGGCCATCAGACATGAGGGAGTGTTGGTTGCTACGGTGATGGGGCTCAGAGCAGAACCAAAGCATGATTGTGACCTCCAGAGGTGATGGTAATTGAACAATCATTTCCAAGGGTCTTCCTTCTAAGTTTCCAGGGATCTTCCAAGGAAAATGTACATATTCTTTTTGGAAACAAAATTCTTCTGCCAACAGACATATCCTGCAATCCTCCAGGACTTTTTTGTCCACTTCTACAACCACGTGATTAATTGCTTTTTCTCCATGATTAAAAATTAGTAGCTTCACCTGTGTCTTGTATGAAACAAACATTATCTCATCCTTGCAAATAACTTTTCTAAATCTCTAAGCCAGCAAGAATTCCCATTATTCCACTGGCATTTAGCCCAAATATTCTAACCAAAGATAACCTTATCACTTTGGCTGAGTCAATCTAGGCATCCTTCTTCAGAGAGGAAGGTCTGAGTCCAGCCCACAGACTGAAGTGTTTAACAAGACTAAGCAAAAAGAAGAAAGAAAAAGAGTCTCAGAGTTTAATAAACAGATCTTTTTGTTTTCTAGCTTAATTTTCTGTGGATGAGCCTTTCTTGATTTCACTTGGGCCCTACGTTTGGTCACACATTCTTGTTTCAGTGACTACTAGATTCTGTTTAGGTTTTCAATTGCTCTCAGAAGAGTGTGTCTTGCTCTTTTTGAACCAGTTGGTTACAAGACAAAAAGTTCCTACCAGGATATCTGATGCCCACAGTTAGTTAGCTGTGTATGCCAGTTGAATGTCTTCTTGTTATTTATAATTGGTAATTAGAAAATCATCACTTATAATTATTTTTGACAGATATTGACTCCAGTGAGTTATAGAAACTTAGTTTTCCATGGAGATTATTAGAAGGAAAACCATGTAGACAATTATATTGAGCTTTTTAAACCCTGGGTCAATATTTCCAATTATCTTCACAGTTAGCTCTCAAATATTTACATTCTTCTTAAAAGTTAGACTTTGGCTCTGGGTTTTATAGACTCTACAAGTGTGAAGAAATTGCAATCTAACTTTATGTAGACATTAGAATGCATTTTCCTATTGGTATTTGCATCATGCAATATTAGATGCAAAAGATTCCCAGAAAAGTAATTTTCTTCATTCTATATTTCTGGAACCAGTTTAAAACCTGTTTTATTGCTGAAGGATCACAGAGAAGGGACTTTGCCACCTTTTTTTGGTAACTCAGGCAAGTTTCTGACATTTTCTAATTGGTGGCATAATTTATTGTCAGGGAATTAATTGTTTTAATGATTTTGAACATGATTTAGAACTCAAATACAAGCACTAATCATCTGTGTTCCCAAAATCAGTGGTTTGCCATCTTTTTTTTTTTCATTGTGTTTTTCTTTTCATCCCCCACAACCTTTCTAGGTTTACTTATGAAATTGCACCCGTGTTTGTCCTCATGGAGCAAATAACTCTTAAGAAGATGAGAGAGATAGTTGGATGGTCAAGTAAAGATGGTGATGGGATTTTTTCTCCTGGTACGTTTCTCTTTGGCTCCTCCAATGCTCTTCAAATATGAATCATTAAGGTGGTTGTTTAAGAATCAAATAATTGATGCAACATGTTTAGTGTATGTTGTCCAGACGTACCTACATAAGTTACTTCAGTTCTCTTTGTGCTTTTATTTAGGTAAATGAGAGTTTGTTTTCACTTTCATAACCTTAGATTTCTTCCAAATGACTCGGTAGCTCACGTGGGCTGTCCTTGGAGGACAGGACCCAGGCAGGTAACCAAGGAATGCAATCATTTCCTTCTCTAGGCCCCATTGCTCTCTTTCTCTGTCTATTTGATTCAGGGAACAGATTCATCTTTGTTCAGTAAATAGATTGAGTAGAAAGTAGAAGCGGGAAGGTTGTAACTCACGGTCCTTTGTAACCACCGCCGCCGCTGCCTCCTCTTATATTTCTGTCCAGGCTTTGGGCAGAAAGGGCGCTGGAGTACCTGAATCACTTCCAGCCAAATTGCCTATAAGGCATTAGTAACGAGACTGGCTATTTGTATTCACTGAGATAGGGGAGTCGAGGGAAATTCTAGCAATCGGGAAGCTAGGAAAACTAACAGGATAGTATCCCTTTCCTTCCTGACTTCCCTTATCTCTTGAGATTGCTCTTTGTACCAAGGATGGTAGTCCCAACACCTCTCACTGTGTTTGACACTAGGGGGAGCCATATCCAACATGTACAGCATCATGGCTGCTCGTTACAAGTACTTCCCAGAAGTTAAGACAAAGGGCATGGCAGCTGTGCCCAAACTGGTTCTCTTCACCTCGGAACACGTGAGTCGGAGGCTTCTGCATATGAATTACAGGGTTTTTTCCAATGGATTATCTAACTTTTGATCGTAAGCCTCTGTTTGTTACAGAGTCACTATTCCATAAAGAAGGCTGGAGCTGCACTTGGCTTTGGAACTGACAATGTGATTTTGATAAAGTGCAATGAAAGGTAGGCAGGGGAAAAGCGGATATTAGGTTCTTGATGTATTAAATGTGTTCATCTGTTAAATTTGTTTTATTATGCTTAAGAACTGGCTCAGTACAGTGTGCCAAGTTGCTAATGGTCTGTTGAAAATATCCAATTAAATTTGTTTTTTGCGCTGCTAAAGGTTTTTTTCATGGGCAATCTCATTGATTCGTCATTTTGATTCTTCCATTTTGATAATAATTACAGGGGGAAAATAATTCCAGCTGATTTAGAGGCAAAAATTCTTGAGGCCAAGCAAAAGGTATGGAACTAACTCTATTGTGCAACTTAAACTTCAGTGAATGAAAATTTTTAAAAATAATTTCTTCCTGCTATAGTTAATAAAAACCTTTTATAAGAGATAATGCCATTGTGTTTCTAAAATTCATCCTCAAATATTTTCTTATTTCCAGTGTGTGAGAGATGGTTTGGCTTTAAATCTGTGTCCCAACAATAACACTTTTTAGCATTTCAGTTCAGCCATTGGGTAATTTGCTTTTGTCTTCACTGCTACATAATTTGACATTCTTAAATAAATCCTCTGAGCATCATGAAGATACAGCCTAATTGAGCTTTTTACTTACCTTAATAAATATCATTTGTGCTTAGGATTCTACTTAGCAAAGCTTTCCCATGCTCTTGGCAGATGGCCCATGATATTTGGCGAATCCAGCCTTGACAAATTCTATTAAACAGCAGAAAAAATCTCCTAGAACAGATGTATCCCCAAGTCACTGCCAGATAGCTAGCTGACAGGCCATTTACCAAACGCATTGTTGTACAATGTACCCATGTTGTGTTCCTGTATCTCCTCTAACTGTACTTGTTTGCTTGGACCTTGTAGAGGAGATGGATGGAAATGATGCTAGAGGGCTGGTAAGGGGTAAAGCTGTACCTGCTCTTCAGATAGTGTTAGGATTTAGAAACTGTCCCTAATCTATCTTAACTCTATTACTCTGCTTCCTCATTCCCCTTTTCCCACGTCAAAATGTTACCATTAGTGAATTTTTCAGCTTTTGTAACACATCAACTTGTTTTAAATAACCAAACAATGCTTCAGTGTAGTTACTATATAAATAAACTTAGAACAACACAGCTTCTAAAAAGAACAATGCCCAGATACTCAGAAATGCCTGCAAAAAAATAGTGAAGACATATTACTGTTTCTTGATTTATTTTTTCTTTTTTATTGTTTATTTCTTTTTTCTTATTTTTTGTGGTTTTTTATTTCTTTTTTCTATTGAACTTCTGTAGATTATCAGACACACTATATATTTTGCTTACTTAAATTTGCTTATTATTTGTCTCCCACCACAAGAATATAAGCCCCCTGAGAACAGAAATCTTCATCTGTTGTTCCCACTGTTGTATCCCCAACACCTGGCAGATTATTAAAGTCACTCATCTAGTATTTGTTACATGAACTAACAAAAGAGTACGACCAGATACAGAACTAATGCAATGTCAACTTAGTTAATTAGCATTAACAATAAGTGCTACCCAATGTGAATGAAGAATAGTGTTAAATGCAATGTGTATAAACTTTGTAAGCAAACCAATTAAAAAAATAAGTGCTACTGCAGTTCTTCTACTTCATATAGAAATGATCAAAGGAGAGAGGTTAAGAAGACTAATCAATGCACACCCATGTTTATTGCAGCTTTGTTTACAATAGCAAAGAGTTGGAAGCAACCTAAGGGCCCATCAACAAACAAATGGATAGAGAAGCTGTGGTATATCCACACAATGGAATACTACACCACATTGAAAAACAAGGAACTCATGCAATATTGTTCAAAATGGGTGACCCTGGAGGACATTATGCTGAGTGAAATATCTCAGTCACAAAGGGACAAATACTGCATGGTGCCACTGTTGTAGAATGGGTCTGACATCAGGGTTGGGGTATGACAGAAAAAAACTGGGTAAATTATGTATGTTGTATTGAAACAGTTGAGGGAAAGAACAGATTAGAGGTGATATATGATTGAGTATTATGGTTATCACAGGAATTCAGAATTAAGGTTGCATAGAGAAGTGTACTCAGGGTGGGGGGTGGGGGAAAAGGGATGGGGGAATTGTATACTAATGAAGGAATTTTTTTTTCTTTTTCTTTTTCTTTTTGGAGAGGGGAGCTAACTGCTGGGGAGGGGTGGGCAGGGAGAAAAGTGCGGCAATGAATGAATGAAAATCCAAAACCTCTGTAAATGTCTATTAAAATTAATAAATAAATAAAAACCAAAACAAAACAAAAAAAAAGAAGACTAATCAGCCTGTCTTTCTTACATTACAGGGATATGTTCCTCTGTATGTCAATGCAACTGCTGGTACAACTGTTTATGGAGCTTTTGATCCGATACAGGATATTGCAGATATATGTGAGAAATACAACCTTTGGCTACATGTTGATGTAAGTGCTATAACTCACAGAGCTGCCCAGTCCATTTGGCTGGTGGAAGCAGCTCTGTTTTATGATTTGTCACAAGCTTTCTATTAGTGGCCCAGCCAACCTTCTCTCCATATACCACATTAGCACCAACTCTTTTCTGGCCCCCAGCCAACCATTCATGATTGGTACGTACCACAGATCTAGCACAAACTCGAGGAGTCACTCAGTTCCTTTCTGGTCAGTTGCTGTCCTCTGTGGTTCAACCTAGAATGTATCTTTTATTCTCCCAGTTGACCACAGCTGAAGAGTGAATATAGATTTCAAGGTGAAAAAAATATAAAATGACGTATGTACATAGAGAGTGAATGTGCATTTACGTTTGAGAACTTGAATACTTGGCTATCTGCTTTTAGTTTGGCCATCTATAGTGTTATATATGTGTGTGTTGCTATAAATCTATGGTGCTATAAGTGTGTGTGTGTGTGTGTGTGTGTGTGTGTCTGTGTGTGTCTGTGTGTGTGTGTATAAAGGCTTACCTCTTACATGTAGGAAAAATTAGACAATATGATATTGTTGTCAGGTGCCATCAAGTTGAGTATGACTCATAACAATCCTATGAACAACAGATCTGAACCCTGTCCTATCATAAACAACAGGTCTGAACCCTGTCCTATCATGAACAACAGATCTGAACCCTGTCCTAGCGAATGCTGTCCTCATCATTTCTGACATACTCAAGCCCACTGCTACTGTGTCAGCAAAAAAGAGATGTAACCTTGAATTTTCCCCCTCAAATTATTTTTATTTGAATGAAGATTTACAAATATTTTACTTGAGTTAAGGGAGTCCTGGTGGTCAGGTAGATAGAGAATTACACTGCCAACCCAAAGATGAGTGGTTTGAATCCGCAAGCTGCTTCTAGAGAGAAAGATGGGCAGTCTCCTCCCATCGATTTACTGCCTCTGAAAACCCACTGGAGGGTCACCTATGAGTTGGTTCTGATTTACAACATATAAGCAAGAGCCTATGGTGAAGAAGGAAGAAGTTCAAGCTGCTTTGAAGGAAATAGCAAAAAATAAGGCCCCAGGAATAGATGGTATACCAATTGACATATTTCAGATAACAGATGCTGCCCTGGACGTGCTCACCAAGTTGTGTCAAGAAATCTGGAGAACAACCACTAGGCCAACTGACTGGAAGAGATCCATATTTGTTCCCATTCCAAAGAAAGGTGACCCAACAGAGTGTGGAAACTATAGAACAATATCGTTGATTTCATATGCAAGCAAGATTCTGCTGAAGATTACAAAAAACGACTGGAACAGCACATCAACAGAGAACTGCCAGAAGTCCAGGCTGGGTTTAGAAGGGGTCGTGGTACTAGTGATATTGTAGCTGATGTTAGATGGATCTTGGCTGAAACCAGGGAGTACCAGAGGAATGTCTATCTGTGCTTCATTGTTTATGCAAAGGCGTTTGACTGTGTGGACCATAACAAACTGTGGCTGACTCTGAGAAGAACGGGAATCCCAGAGCACTTGATCATGCTAATGCGAAACTTATACTTGAACCAAGAGGCAGTTGTCAGAACAGAGCAAGGAAACACTGCATGGTTCAAAATTGGGAAGTGCGTACGCCAGAAATTTGTCCTGTCTCCATACCTTTTCAACCTGTATGCAGAACAGATTATCCGGGAGGCTGGTCTCTATGAGGAGAAATGTGGGGTCTAGATTGGTGGAAGATCTATCAACAATCTGCGTTATGCAGATGACACAACCCTGCTTGCTGAAACTGAGCAGGACCTCATGCGCTTGCTGCTGAGGGTCAAGGACTGCATGCAGCCTTCAATATGGATTGAGGCTCAATGTCAAGAAGACAAAGATTCTTACCACTGGACCAACTGGCAGCATGAGGATGGATGGTGAAGAGATTGAGATTGTCCACAGCTTTAGTCTCCTTGGCTCCACAATCAACACTCTTGGCACCAGCAGCCAGGAAATTAAAAGACATATTGCGATGGGAAAGTCTGCTCTTAGGGACCTCTCCAAAGTACTGAAGAGTAACGGTGTGTCTCTGGAGACTAAGGTGTATCTGATACAGGCCATGGTCTTTGCAATCACTTGTTATGCGTCAGAGAGCTGGACAGTGACCACGAAGGATAGAAGGAGAATTGATGCTTTTGAGCTTTGGTGTTGGAGAAGAGTGTTGAAGGTACCATGACCTGCTATGAAAACAAACAGATTCAGCCTGGAGAGGGTTAAACCGGGCTGCTCCTTGGAGGCAAGGATTCTGAGGCTTCGTCTGACATACTTTGGTCATGTTGTAAGGAGAGACCAGTCCTTGGAGAAGGACATCATGCTTGGGAGGGTAGAGGGCAGGCACAGGAGGGGAAGGCTCTCTGGGAGCTGGATTGATTCGGTGACTGGGGCAGTCAGGATGAGTGTGTCAGAGACATTGAATGAGATAGGCACAGGACAGAGCAGAATTTAGAGCTGTTGTACATAGGGTCGCTATGAGTCGCAAGCTACTCGACGGCACATAACAACAACAAGAACAGCTCTCGCAGGGTTCAGCTGTCAGGCTCTAGTCCTTTGATAGGTTCCAAAGCTACCTGGGGTTCATCTGACTCTTTTTGAGTGGCCTCTGGGTAATGTCCCCACAAGCGCTGACCTCATATACCTGTATCACAATGTAACTACTCTGACACTAACCTGGAAGGAAGGTTTGAAAAAGAAATGACAAAGAATGAGAAGTTACTGATGCCGCTGGTGGAACAGCCCGTACGGGTTCCGTTTGTTGGAGGAACCGTGCCTTTGACGTTCTTACATGGTTCTTAGAGGTGTGGAGTGACGGGTTTTAGATTCTGAGTGTTCCCTTTCCTCTCTTCTCTTCTTTCTCTGTCCTCACAGGCAGCTTGGGGCGGAGGACTGCTCATGTCCAGGAAGCACCGCCATAAACTCAGTGGCATAGAAAGGTATGGGCTAGAGTTGCTCAGCCTCCTTCCGGTCAGCATGTTTCAGTTATTGTGATGCAGAGCCATGGAGTGTCAGACGAACCTCATTCCCACCATCTTATTTCTGTTTCAATAGTACTTTGTTGAACATTTACTGTAGTGTATGCATGTTCTTGTTATGTGTTATATGTTATTGTTATCTCTGACTCATGGTAACCCCACCCACAATAGAAAGAAAGCTTATCAGTTGCAAATTTGACTCCTATGGCCTATCGGGTTTTCACTGGCTAGGTTTTGGAAATAGGTTGCCATGCCTTTCTTCCTAATCTGTTTTAGCCTGGATGATCTTTTAAAACTTATTCAGGGTAATAGCAACACCAAAACCTCTGATGGAAGAGTCAGGGCTGCACGTGAGGTGCATTAGCTAGGAAATGAACCTGCATTTTCTGCATGTTGTGGTTATGTTCTGTCAGGATGACCGTGACTCATGCAGAGCCTATGACAGATCTGAACCTGGGAACCTGGCCCACCCTAACCAACTCTGACATTCTCGAGCCCATGGTACAGCCATCGAGTCCATCTTGTTGAGGAGCTTCCTCCCTTTCTCTGACTCTTTTCGCCTTTCCAAGCATCGTGTCCTTCTCCAACGACTGGCCCCTCCCAACAGCCTGCCCAAAGTATGTGAAACAAGCTTCACCATCCTTGCTTCCTGCAAGGGTGATGAGAGTTCTACCCCTGGATGGGATTTGATTTCCCAGTCAAATGAGTCCTCTATTAATTTACAGATTAGAAAGACGAGTAAACAATGAGTTAAAATGACATGTAATAAGACTAACAGATGTTAGGTGCCTAGGTAGAAGAAAAGAGAGTTTAAACAGTACAGTGATTTAGAAGTTTAGTCAGTTTGCCAAGGATACAAGGTATCAGATACTAACTCACTTTACTCTTCTATCTCATTAAGCTTACTGGTAGAAAAGGAGTAGTACACTTAATTCTTTTCCTTTTTACTATTCAAGTTCAGTAGGCATTCTAAGACAAATATGATATTGATTTGTTCCCTCAGTGTTGATTCATGATGAGCTCATGTTGATTCATTTCATCATTCAGCAATTATTTATTGAGGGACTATCATAAACCAAGCCCTGCTGAAGCTTCCTTGGTTGCAGAATAAATTACATACTGGACAGCTAGCCAGAATGTCAGTAATTTGAATCCCCAGCCATCCTTCCAGAGAAAGAAAAGGGAATCTGCTCCACTTAAGATTTAGTCTTATCTAAACTGGATAGGGAACTGCCTTAAGTAGAAATAGATCTGGCAGCCGTTTAAAGAGCCTGATGGCACAATCATTAAGTGTTTGACCACCAGCCAAAAAGTTGGTGGTTCAAACTACCAGATACTCCTTAGGAGAAAAAAAAATAACAACAACAAAAACCTGGTCATATGCTCTTATAAAGATTACAACATAAGAAGTTCTTTGGAGGAGTTCTACTTTGTCATTCTGGGTTGCTATGAATCAGAATCATCCAGGCAGCATATTACAACAGGTAGCAATGAGTTGCAAGGCATATTACTTTATATAGCATTATCAGAGGCTTTTCCATGGAGGTAACATTTTAGCATGTACCAAGACGAAGAAAGGGCACAAAGATCTGGGGAAGAGCATCCCAGCAGTATAAACAGCATGTGCAAAGGCCCTGAAGGAGGCCTGCTCTTCTTGGAAAGCTGGAGGACCATCAAGAGGCCAGTGTAACTGGAACAAAATTATAAAGATGAGGGCAGCCAGAGATCAGAGAGCTGGACAGCAAGCCGACTTCATAGAAAACGCACTGTTGACTTCTCTTGTAATATGAACTCTGGCTTTTTAACTTACCACACCTCTTCCTTTCTGTCTCTATTTTGAAAGCCAGTGTCATGGTGGGTGGGAAACACAGTTAAATGACTTTCTAACTTGGAGAATAATATAGTAAGTGTAGGTGAGCCAGTCCATACTAAATTTTAGATTCTCAAACAGGTTTTATTTTCCACCTTTGAGTCTGAGGAAACGTGAAAGATTTTGTCCTGGACTTTTTCCTTTAGTAACATTTAAAAAGAATATATATCTTCTAAGGAAAATTGAATCCATGTCGTGTCTTATTACTTTCATAGAATAATCATTTTGTAGCAGCAAAGAATCATTTTCCTGAGACTTTTAAGACAGTCTGAAAGTCATTTAAGACATTTTATGAGCTTTAAATACAATTTTTTAATGACTCAGTGAATGCTAGCATGAGAAAATGGAATAAATTCACTACCTTTTAAATATAGCTCAATATTGACACTTTTTGAAGGAGAAGCATTTAGCCAACTTTCATTAGCACTTTCAACATGGTTTTGTTGGGTTTTTTTTCAAAAAGCTTTTCTTCATTATGCATTTAAAGGAAAAATATTTCAGGTTGTTCTCTTTTCATATACGACATATTATTTTCTCTCTGCAAGACCTTTGCAAGATGATGAGATTCAAAACCCATAGGAACAGTTAGTTTCACTATAGGACAAACCAATCCAAACCCAAACTCATTACCCTGGGGTCAATTCCAGATCATGACGAACTCTAGTTGACTTTCTAAGGTTATAAACCTTAGCAGGAGAAGAGTGCCTTATCTTTCTCACATGAAACAGCTGGAGATTCAAACCACCCATCCTTTGGTTAACATAAATCACTGAGTGACCATGGATCCTTGAAGGAAGAACAAGGCAGTATAAATCCTAGCCAAATTGCAATGTCTCTCACAAATATTAAAATGCAGCATCCAGCTGTGGGCCAAACAATTGGGAAGTAGTCTGTAAATCATAAAGCAAAGTCTCCCAAGTTTTAATCATTATGTCCTATCGAGTGTGCTCCTTAACTATCATTGTATTTAGCACAGTGATGCTGTTGCTGGGAAACTGTGCTTGGTAAGCTATTTGTGCAGCTTAACGTGGCAATGTCACGTTCATTTAGTATCTAAACACCACTGCTGGATGGTTAAAGTCTGAAATAGTCTACTTGATCCTTCATTTTACCTGTCACTCTTCATTGATGTTGTTAGTTGTCAGTAAGTTGATACTCACTCACTGAGACTCCTTGTGGTACAGAGTGGAACTGCTCCCTGGGATTGTCTTGGCTTTAAATCTTAATGGAAGCAGATTGCCAGGTCTTTTCTTCCTTTGTACTTCTGGATGGGTTCAAACCTCCAAGCTTGGCTAGTAATTGAGTGCAAATGGTTCGTGCTCTTTCTACCACTCCATAAGTAGGTAATTGAGCACCATTTTATAAATAATAACCAGTAGGCAGAAAGAAGGCCAAGTCCGTTGCCTAGAGAGAAGCAGTCAAATGGAGTCATTTTAAGCTTTGGCTCTGCAGTTAGACTCCTAGAATTTGAATCTTGCTCCCAGCATTTCTCAGATGTGTGGTAGATGAGACTTTGGATGGTGAATTTAACCTTCCGGTGCCTCAGTTTTACCATTGATAAAGGCAATCATAGTACCTGTATCATAGGATTGGACTGTTGTGAAAGTTAAGTACACCTGGAACTGCTATATGCATTTTATATATTTATTAATTCCTTTTATTCTTTTTTTCAATTTTTTTTATTAATTTAGTTTGTTTATTTTTCATTTCAATGAACATCTACAGAGATTTTGGAATTCCATTAATTCATTGTTTTATTCTTTCTTTAACTCCATAAGGTATTCAACCACTTATTCTCTACCTTTTGCAAACAGAAAACCTAAGGCACAGAAGAGTTATGTGACTTGCCCAACCATTGACACCAAGATTCAAATGTGGATTTGAATCAGGGAGCTCTGATGGCCTAGTACTAAGAAGCTGCACTGCTATCCCAAAGGCATGCAGTTTGAATCTACCAGCTGCTCCACGGGAGAAAGATGGGCAATCTCCTCTCTTGTGATTAAACTCCTTCTGAAAACCTGCTGGAGGGTTACCTGTAGGTTGGTTCTGACTCATTGGTACACAAAAACAACAGTTCCAAAGCCTGACTTTTTAGTCACAACATACTCGCATAATGTCTACAAAGTTCTAAAAGAAATAGATCACATAAGTTTTTGGTTAATAGCTATTATTTTGTTGTTGTTGTTGTTGTTGTCAGAGTAAGATGAGGCAGTTCTCCTGTTAAGATTTATAGACTTATTGTTGTTGTTAGGTGCCATCCCATCGATTCGAGTATGACTAATAGCTGCCCTATAAACAACAGATCTGAACCTTGTCCTCTCCTGTTCCATCCTCACCATCTCCGACATCCTCAAGCCCATTGCTGCAGTCACTTTGTTAATCCCAGTGGTGGGAGATCTTCCCCTGAAGATCCTCAGGAAGACAGTTGCCTCTTCTTGACTCCAGCACCTTCTCCTCTAAGTATCATCATCTGCTTCTTTCAGAGCCAACTCAGTCACCTGGAATCCGCACAAGATGATGGGTGTGTTGTTGCAGTGCTCCGCCATTCTCGTCAAGGAAAAGGTCTGTACTCCTTCCAGAGGGAAGCTGGTGGCCTGCACATCCTTTAGAGGGCACAGGAGGGAAAGGGCACTGCGTCATTTACATCCTTGTTGAGAAACACGCCCAGCAGCCCCATTACATAAGTATTTTTGCCAGCTGTCAACGCCTCCTGCCTTTCATCTTGTTCAGTGTTCAGGTCCTACCAGTGACAGAAACATTAAGGAAATTTTGTAATTTTATATTCTTTCATGTTTACAGACACAAAAGTGAGATAGGTTTGGTGAGGTGTCGTGAGGTGCCTTTTACCTTAGTGAGGACAAACAGTGACATTCTTCTAGTTTTTAGCATAAGTGTGTGGTCCCAAGAGCTGAAATAAATTTGAAGTGGAACAACTTCAAATCTCAATTCAGAGCACAAAGGAATGTGTAACAAATAGCTCCTGTAAATGTGGTAGCGCTGTACTCCCTTCTTAAGCAGTTAAGTATAGGATCTGCCCTCCTGTGCCCTCTAGTAAAACTTTTGCAGATTTCAGGATTCCAGAAAGTCTATCTCCAGCCTGAGCGTGGAGAAGTCAGAACCTGTACTCGATTTACTCCTCCCATACGTTTTGTTACCTGTCAGCAAGTCGACTCAGGTGACCCCGTACACAATGTTCTCAGACTGTAGTGAGCCATAGGGTTCTCATTGGTTGGTTTTCTGGAAGTAGACTACCAGGCTTGCCTTCCCGTTCAGCATCCTAGCAACACATACAGCTTCCCCTGGCAGATTATAGTGGCTGTGCGTGAGGTGCTTTGCCTGGCATCATGGAGGTTGAGAACTTTACCCCCACATTACCACAGTCCCTGATCATCTCACAGGAAATCTTAAGAGTAGGAGATTTAACAGGAGGGTTTTTAAAGGAAATTCTTCACAGCATTAAACTGTCCTTCCCACCACAGAATGTTTATGTTTGGAGCCCCTGCCCACTGGAGTGTCATAGCACTTGTCAGTCTTTGAAACAACCCTCAACACCTACCCACATTTCCAAATGCCCCTTCAGTGGAACAGTAGGCCCCGTTATGAAGCATCTGAGGCAAAAGATAATTTTCTAACCAGGTAGACAAGGGAAAGGGGAAAGATTAGCTATTCCAAGAAAACGATCAACACAAAGCCTCACGAGGCGCATTAGAAGAAATGTTGCAAGTGACCCCCAAGTCCCTCCTTCCAAGTACATGCACTTCGAGTCCTATTTCAAAGTGTCTCACAGCTCTGAACTGTCAAGACAGATGATGCCCCATGTTTCTCTTCTGTGATAGGGTATCCTCCAAGGATGCAACCAGATGTGTGCAGGCTACCTCTTCCAGCCTGACAAGCAGTATGATGTCTCCTATGACACTGGAGACAAGGCAATTCAGTGTGGCCGCCACGTGGACATTTTCAAGTTCTGGTTGATGTGGAAAGCAAAGGTATGAAAAATGGACTTTGAGAAATAGAGGTAAAATGTAATCTGTCCAGGCCAGCTCTCAGTAGAGGCAGATACATCATAGAGAATAATACACTTTATATGTAATTGGTATCTAGACATTAATTGTATTTTTACTGCTATCTAAAAAAAACATATATATATATATATCAGAATAGGTATGTGCTCCATAGGGTTTTCAACAGCTGGTTGGTTTGTTTTTAAGTCAATTACCATCACTTTGTGGCTGGGCCTCATGATCTGAGGCATGCCTGGGTGGACTTGAATCACCAACCTTTTGTTTAGCAGTTGAACACGGTAACCATTTGCACTATCAGGCATTTTCTTTAAACACGTTGTTGTTGTTGTTATATACCATCAACTGAGAGCTGACCCTCTAGTGGGTTTTCAGAGGCATGGAAGGAGATTGCCCATTTTTCTCCCTAAGAACAGCTGGTGGATTCTACCTGCATGCCTTTGGGTAAACAGCACAACTCCTTACAACTATGCCACTACAGGTCCCTTAAGCACATGTATAGTTCTACATTTCAGTAAGAGAGACAAGAGGAGGTCTACTGTTTTGAAACCTCACGGCTGGCCTGACTTCAGTAATTTGAATTTTCATTTTGCCTCTTGAACTCTGCTGGAGACTTGGCTCATAGTATGTTGGTTGCTTGCTGGGACCTTGACATGAACTTTAATCCCCAGTGGATTGCCTGAGGTGTACTGTCAACAGTAACAATACAGCAGGGGCTCACACTTTGCCAGTGCTGGACTCCACCCAGGCCCGTTAGCATTTCCAAAGCTAGCCTTGTACATCTGCTCTAGGTAACACCAACACTCAACAGACCTCGTGCTGCTGTTAGGAGGCAGCCATGGAGGCTTTTTGAAACTCATGCTCAACTAGATTGCCAATTGGACCTTTTACAATCTCAAGGTATGGACTGAGACCAATGTCTTTCCCACCTGCCTGCCTGTCACCAAATAGGAAGAATGCTGTGTGTAGTGTAAGTCTGCCTGCCCAAGTTGGGGTGGAATATGCTTAGTCAGGACTTCTTACTTGGCAAAGTATATTTCAAAGCAATGGTTCTCCAACTATCCATAAGGAAGAAAAGTTAGTTTTGGTTTTTTTTTTAAAAAAATACTAGTTTATTTATAAAATTCGAATGCATTATTTTTGAGTACAGATATTTCCAATTTCCCTTACCTCCCCAAACCAGTTAGTTTTTAACCCATCATGGACCAATACAATAAAAATGAATTTCTAGAAAAAGGAAATAAAAGTCCATATTAAATACAACCCTGGTATTTTATAAAATTCAATAGATAGTAAGTTTCTCTGGAAATTGCTATAAAAATTTCTCATCACTTAATCTCAGTTTCTGTACCTGTCTCGTCATGGACTAGTTACAAATCGTCTGTGGACTGACTTCCATCACTAGATGACAATTTGAATAGCAGTTTTCTCCTGGGGCTCCCTGGGTAAAAGATGAGCAGTGCCTCCTGTTAAGATGCCTCAAACTAGATTGAGGGTCATTGTGAATCAGAACCAACTCAAAGGCAGTGAGTTTCTTTTGTTTTTTTTCCTAAAGCAAACCAGAAGAATGTTTTGGGTCCAATGTTATTCAGTGCTTTGGACTATGAAGAGCAAGCAGAAAGCTAAAAGCCCTCCATAGAATAATGACCTGGAGACCAGTATGCCTTCAAATGAGGAAGCAGGGACCCTTCATTGTATTACATGGAGTACTATGAAGAAGTGTTAAGCATTTCATTAGATGTTCTAACAATCCCCAGTAACAATCCTTTTCTTCTTTCCTGAAGGATACCATAGCCTTTCCCAGTATACCATTAGAAATGGCATGGAAATATCACCTCTCACCAACAAACATGACTCTTCTTTTTAAACAGGGCACAGTGGGATTTGAACATCAGATCAACAAATGCCTTGAACTGGCAGAATACCTCTATGCCAAGATTAAAAACAGAGAAGAATTTGAGATGGTATTCGATGGTGAGGTAGGTTGCTATCACAGACTTAATGCCAAATATTTCTAGAAAACCTAGTAGGGGAAGCTCCTGGAGCCATCTTAGCCCACATTACAAGAAGTTGCTTCTGAATATTTAGTCTTAACTGTAAAAAGAACAAGGGTTGTGTGAAGACAGCCATCTCTGCTAATTGCACAAGGGGAAACTGTCTCTATCAAGAACATCCACAAAACAAAACCAAGTCTCATGAGGTCAGACATGCCCCCTACACTCTTGTACATCTTTCTACTAATTTCTAATACCAATCCTACTGTCCTACTGGGTCCAAATATCCATTGCAATAGCTACACAGACCTCATAGAACCAAACTCATGATTATAGGTTTTATTAGGGAAGTTAACAAGTTACAATTCAAGTTGGCAACAGATTACAGGACAGCTTCTCAGTCGGGACGGCTTCTTGGAAGCGTGTTCCCAAGTCCTTCAGCCTTGTGGCTTTAGGCCAGTGTTTCAAAGCTCTCTTAGTCCTTCCAATTAAGGCATCTAACCCCTTGTCCCCACCCCCCTCCACCCAGTCTGCCAGCAAGTTTGAGTGAAGGTCTTCAGCTTTGGCTCTATTGACACAGCAGTCCCAGTTCAGCTCTGTCTCATGCCAGGTCTTTGGTTCATGGATGTGGCTGCTGCTGCTCTCCTGTACACCCTAGTCTGAGATGGTGCAGGAATCTCTGATCCCAAAGGCTGTATGCTGCATTCTCTGCTTCTTCTTTATTCTGGTAGTGAGATTCCAAAATTTCTGCAGCTGTCTGCTCAATTCAAACCTAGTGGAATGACAAAACTGGCCAGTCCCTTTGTGGATAGACTAACATATCCTGTTTGTATGTTTCTGCCCTGCCATGTTGTTGTAAAGTCAACAGCAGTGTCCTAAGAAATCCATTTTGAAAAACAGACCCCCTAAACCACAGTGTTCACCTTTCATTTAATTGTCTCCATGTCAAAAAACTCTTTTCCTGGTAGCATTTGGGTAGCTTCTCCCTTTATCTCTTCTCTAATGTCTCTAAGGAACTCTTGTGGCACAGAACCTTACTCTTACCAGATCTGAAACCTTCATCGTTGTTGAGGGTATATATTATTATGTTGAATTTCCACAATAAAGAGCTTTTCAGTTCTAAAAGCTTATAGGCTGGATATAGCTTCGTCTTCCAAAATTGGTCCTACAATGAGGTTGTACTTAGATTGGTTATGAGGCAAGCAAGATAAAAATGTCTTTGTCTAGAGGTTGTGTCCACATTATTTTTTGCACCACTATTTATTAAGTGCATGCTATATGCCAGGCACTGCACTTGGAGCTAAGTTACACGCTATTGACCAAAGCAGATACTGTCCTTGTGCTATTTAAGAAAGATGGAAGAAAAGTCGTTTGGAGAGGAAATCCACAGATAACTTACTAAAATATAATAAATACCATCTACATTTTACAAGCAACATCAACTAGGAAAACACCTCAGAGTCACCAAGGGACCATAAAAGAACCCCAAGCAGTTAAAAATCTGTGATACATTGTTCTTGTATTTGAAACCTTTTTACAGCAGATTAGAAGCAGCATTTGTCTTAAGCTAGTTGAAGCAGATAAAATTATGGCAACTGGAAGGAAAATTAAAAAGAATATCAAGAACACATAAGAACTCAAAAAAAACACACAAAAACCTTTACTGTAGGCATGTTAAACAGTATTAGGTATTCTGATGAGCCTTATTTAGTGGTTAAAACCCAGCATTAGTGTTAATAATAATACCCCTGAGTTGCCAATACAAAACTGAGTAGCAATAAAAATAAAGCTCAATAAAATATACAATATCAATAAAATAAACTTTCAAATAACCTCTATATGTGAGGTATACAAAATGGTAAGATGGATTAATATCTTTTTCTTTTTTAAGATAATCCAAATAATGCATTTTTTAAAATCATTTCACTCTTAAGGTGGTAACTTCAGTTACTAGAAACATTTTTTTTGGGAATACATCCCTTGTTAGTTAGATGTGATTGGATAAATCAGGGAATATTCTCCTGAATGTTTTACTAGCCTTGGTTTTGAGATAGACATGCCTTTTTCAGTGGTCTGTAAAATTGCCACGAAGCGTATATATATATATGGGTTTGGGACAGATTTCTCTCAAGTTCTCCTAATTATCTTTATTTTGTTTGTTTTGTTAAATCTCTGCAGCCTGAGCACACAAACGTCTGCTTCTGGTATATTCCACAAAGCCTCAGAGGTGTTCCAGATAGCCCTGAGCGACGGGAAAAGCTACACAGGGTATGAGATCTCTTCTTTCACTAAACCCTCAGCAGTCTCTCTGGTCAGGATGTACTCATTCTAAAGTAGGATTCTAGTGGAGAAGAAATGAAAATACTTGGGTAAACTACACAGCAACAACAACAAGATAAACATACTAGTTGAGAGAAGGAAAGCTATGTTATTACTTTGTCCTCCTTTAGCTTTAACTACCCTTTGCTGCGGTTCAGACACAATAGATGTATCTCTGGCCCTTAGGCAGGTATCCCTGAAAAGGCTGAACACAGAGCAATTGGATAATATACATGTTCCTAACCAAAAGCAATCCTTGCCATCAAGTGAATTCCATCTAATGGTGCCCTGTACACATGTTAGAGTAGAACTGTGCTCTGGAGGGTTTTCCATGGTTTCATGGTTAACCAGAAAGTTGGTAGTTCAAACTCATCAGTTGATCTGTGTAGAGAAAGATAAGACAATATGCTCCAATAAAGATTACAGATAGGAAACCCCATGGGGTAAATCTGCTGTGTCAGATAGGATTGCTGTGAGTTGAAAAGGAGCTCTGGTGGCTTAGTGGTAAAGAGTTATGCTGCCAGCCCAAAGGTAGGCAGTTCAAACCAGGTGTTCTGAGGCCAAAAGATAGGCTGTCTCCTCCAGTGTGATTTATAGCCTCTGAAAAAAACCCACTGGAGGATCTGCTAAGAGTCATTTCTGACTCAATGGCACATAACAACAACATGAGTTTAAATCAACCTGCACATACATAACTACAAAGACTCCATTCTTGTTTCTAAAACCATTCTATTTTTAAAAACTTTTAAAGTGCTGTTAATTCAACTGTTTCTAATATTGATTGATTCTAGCTGGTGAATTCTACTTCCATTTAATGTATTATTTTCTAGCTGTTGACATTACATTTCATTTGTAATTTATTTTATCTATTCAGTCATTCAACAAACATTAACTGAGCACATTCTGTGTGTAGTGTGGTATACTGGCTCTGGGTTCCACAGAGCCTTGATTTGCATGGTTGCCTGTAAGAATTTTGTATTCTTTTGTTTCTTATCATATTGCCATCATTGATGTTCCAAAATATAGTCTCATAGCACTTTCTGAAGGAACTTATATTGTAAACATTTAATATAGTCATAAGATAGCCACTGAAGGTACATGGATATAGAATATTTCTTTGCTTTTATGTCAGTGTAAACACCAATAGTAAAATCAAGTTGCTCTTTCCAACCAATAAATGGGTCTAGTTGTTAAAAAGAGAGGAGTGTTAATATCAATTTGGTTTTGTGTTTTCAATTCCAAGGTGGCTCCAAAAATCAAAGCTCTAATGATGGAGTCGGGCACCACCATGGTTGGCTATCAGCCCCAGGGAGACAAGGCCAACTTCTTCCGGATGGTCATCTCCAACCCAGCTGCTACCCAGTCTGACATCGACTTCCTCATTGAGGAGATAGAAAGATTGGGCCAGGATCTGTAATCCTCCTCCATAGAACGTGGGTTTATGGGGAAATCACTCTCCTCTGGCACTCTAGAACAAGCCTCTTTAAGTTGCTGAAACACTTAGTCCATTTCACTGAGGGAAAAATATATCTTGGAGAATACTGTTAAAACCTTACTTAAGCTTGTTTGTTATAGCTAGCAGGAAGTACTGTTCTTTTTCAAAAGTTGCACATTAGGAACACAGTATATTTGTACAGTTATAAATACCTCTCTCTATATATATGTGTGTGTGTATAGTGAGTGTGGCTTAGTAGTACATCACAGCATGTTTCCCACCCCAGGAGAATTACCTTTACCTTCAGCAGTTACTGAGGGGCTAAACATGCTGCAAACCAGCTTGCCCAACAACCACAGAAAGGATGTATATACACTGTAGTGTCCTAGAGACCAAGAGAAATGCTGCTGGTGTGGGAGTCCACCTCACTGTCATTGTTTCTCTTACTTGGGGTCACGATGGATGAGTAAAAACATCACCAGGTGACAGGTAACACCCTCCCCATTAGCATCTTATTAAGGGGAAATCGTAGCATTGTTACAGGTATACTTATTGCTGTGCTGTTAGAGATTCATTTGTGTAGATTGGGTATATTATTGTTGTCTGACCTTGGGGGAGGGGAAGAACACATGTAATAATTTCAATGACTGTTTAATTGTAGGTAAATGAAATATTTGCTTATTTATATTCAGAGATTTACCATGTTAAAGAGGTGTCTTGTATTTTCTTCCCATTTGTAATGTATCTTATTTCTATATTATTGAAGTAAGTTCTGAAAACTGTTTATGGTATTTTCATGCATTTGTGAGCCAAAGAGAAAAGATGAAAATTAGTGAGACCTGTATTTATATTAGAGTGCCCTTAATATAATGACTTAAGCATACGTTTACGGTCTGTAAAAGAATCCTGACACTGTAAATAGAGTCATATATATGGAAATTCCATTACTTAAATAGCATCTGCTCTTCTATCGCTCTTTCTGTCTGGCTGTCTGTCCAATGTCCTCAATGCTTTTCTAGTAACTGTTGGATAATAACTAGATACCCTGTAATTTTGTAGTTGCCCATGACCAATCTCTGTGACTCGCTTAGCTAAAACCTAAGGCAATGTTTCCGAAGACCTCCTGAACAGCTGACCAGGCTCACAACTGTTTTTGAAGAGAGGAAGTTCACACTGTGCATTTTAGAGTATGCAAGAAAAATATAAGTAAATAAAAATATTCTCCGTAGAGAATTTGAACAAAAATGTCTTCTGGTTTGTTTTTCATGCTGAGAGAGATATTTCACGTTTTAGTTATTTGAATCATCAGACTATTTGCTTTCTGCTTAATATCTTTAAGGGACTATAAATCCGTTATTATCAAGCTGAGACTCTATCCATCATTACAAGTCCAAAGCCTTTTATCTATAAAATCATTATATTTGTAACTGAAGCTTGGGCCTTGAGCTGTTTCACATTTTCTTGTTTTCATCTTAGAGTTTTCATTCGTTCAACAAATATATATTCCCCTATGTAGCCAGCCTGTGTAATAATTACCTATGGTGGACAGTGTTTGGTGGGGCTCCCCGATTAAAACAAGCTTGGAAGCAGGAGTGGCATCCACTTCCATAATAGCTTGCCTCTGGAAACCCTATGAACCTGGAGAAAGGACAAAAGTTATACAGGCATCCAGGACTTTCACTCATAGGGTTGCTATGAGTCGCCTATGACTCAACAGCACCTAACAACAACAACAACATGTAGCCAGCACGGTCCTAGGTACTGAAGTTAAAATGGTGAGCATGGCAGACAAATGTTCTTTTTCGTGGGGCTCTTACATCGTCTGATGTCTAAGGTTTAAAGATGTTCAGACAACTCTAAAAGCAGACTTACACCTTGCTGCCTCTTATGCATACATGTTGTTGTTGTTGTTGTTGCTAAGTAATGTCAGACAACTGACTCATAGTGACCCTATAAATGAAAGATCTGACCACTTGTATTACTTTCATCATTTCTCCACATATGTAACTATTAACAAATTAACCCTCACAAGGGAGTACTGGTGGCCTAGTCACTAAGGAGGTTGTGATACCACCAAAAAAAAGGAGGCTCGAATCGACCAGCTGCTGCAGGAAGGAAAATGGATGGTGGGTGTCCTTTGTGCTTCATAGCCTCTGAAGACTGGTGGGAGCGTCAATTATAAGTTGGTTACCACTTGACAGCAATGATGCTCTATGAGGAGGTCTCTGTAGGAAGTGATCATTGTTGTTGTTAGCTGTACATCTAGTTGGTCCCAGCTCATGGAGAACTCACACACAACAGAACAGAACACTGCTCTCAGAACAGTCCTCTCTTCCTCATGCTGTTCCTTCAAGATCCCCTCTGTGGGCGGATTTTTCCCTTGTCTGTATTTGAATGTAGACAACAAAAATAGTCACTCTTTATTAAGGAAATGGTAAGTTCACAGGAAGAAGCTTCACATTTTAATACAATATGTTGTCACATGCCTTCAAGTTGCAAATGGCTCATAACTGACCCTCCAGCGAGTTTTTAGAGGCTAGGAATGTATGAGAAGAGATTGTCCACCTTTCTCCCAAAGAGCAGCTGTTGGATTCGAACTGCCTGCCTTTGGGTCAGCACCATCATCCTTATCCACTTAGTTAATTTTGGTTTTGGTCATCACTAATAAAAGTGTTATATATATTATTGTGCAGATTTTTGTGTAGACATAGATTTTCATTTAACATGGATAAATATCTAGGGATAAGATTTCTAGGTCGAATGATAAGATTATGTTTAATTTTATAAGAAAGTGTTAAAACTCTTTTCCAAAGTGGGTCTACCATTTTACCTTTCTACCTGCAATATACACACTGTTCAGATACATTATATTCTTGCTGGCAGTGGTATTGTCAATATTTAATTTTTTCCCATTTTAATAGAACTTTTTCAGAAACTTTTATAGAAAACTATGGTTCAAAATCAAGAAAGGCTTCCATCAGGGATGTATTTTGTCTCCATACCTTTTCAATCTGTATGCAGAACAGATCATCCGAGATGGTGGGCTGTACGAGGAGGAATGTGGCATCAGGATTGGTGGAAGAATCATCAACAACCTACGTTATGGGGATGACACAACCCTGCTTGCTGAAACTGAGGAGGACCTGAAGCGCTTGCTGCAGAAGGTCAGAGACTGCAGCCTTCAATATGGATTGAAGCTCAACATCA